AATGGGATTACATTTGGGATCAAACTTGAATGGGACTCAACTCAACCTTTGTACTTTATTAGCATAGTGTAATCTCGATTATAACATTTGACTTCTATTCTCACTAATCAACATAAGAGTTTTTGCATTGTCTGCATTTTTATATTTCAACATTATAAGCATACATGTGTCAATATGATAACATTCTCTGATATATACCCTTAAAAAAGAAAACTTGACCATCAATTTCGAAATTAAAAAGCTGGTAGACAAAATATAAATGTTGCAAGCAATAATCGATCCTGACACCATGGGAAAGGGATAACCCTAGACATGCCCCCAAAAGTATCAACATGAAATTACTTGAAACATGTAAACAGACATGAGAGTGACATAAGGCAAAATGCCAATATCAGTAATGACGACCATGAGCCATGACAGCAATGGCAGCAATGCAGCGGAGACGCACGGAAACAATCAAACGTTGCACAACACCATGTGGAATGTTCTGCCTTTCATGCTGCAGTGGCGTACGAAGTTGCGAAAATGTCTGGGGTGGTGGATTCTTCCGGCGCACACGCTATCCGGTGCATTCCATAAATCTTAGATTGGAGACAAATTGGGCGAACGGGCAAGACAATTTGTGCAGGTTATGGCACTGTAGAAACTCATCCTACCGTTGTCATTCTGGAACAGTCTTCCGTTGAGCAGCATGACTTGGTGTTGCAGCTTCACGTCACGATATCTGATGTCCGTCAGTGCACCTGCTACATGCACAGGAGGCGTCGTACCTGTCTACATCATTACACTGCAAACACCAAAACAATCGACTTTGGGGCATAACGTTCCCGTCGACGTTTATAGACAGGAGAAAACGAGACCCAACAGTCCGGCACATTGCCAGTCCTACTCCTAGATCTTGAGCGGCAGTGGTTACTCTGACCTGACAGTGCCCTGTCATTGACGGTTTGAATGGTGTTGTACCTTGTCCATAAAGCAGAGATGCCCTGTCAGTACACATCAGAGTATCTTGCCAAATCTTGCTGACTTCCTCCTGCTTGCCTTCTCCCAGTTATTGCATTAAACCGAAGTCGACCTTGGCATTATTGCGTCGTCATGTGGTCCGACACTGCCCGGCCCACAGGGATCGGTATGCGCAGTAACGGAACACCATGGTGCATCTCTGAGGTTTGCGTTTCAGTAGAGCTATGTTTATGCAAATCGGGCGTGTTTCCTACCGTTTAGGCATCATTGACTTACTTCTTCGCCGTTACGATTTATTTCATTTATTAACAATAATCACATTTCTCTTTACCTGTGTCAAGTTTTATTTTTGAAGAGCATATAACTGAAGTTTTTGAAAGGCATTTAGAGGTATGTCATGAATACATGACACGTCTTATGAATAACAACGTCTTTTTGTGGACCCCCCAGAAATTCATAACAGAAATACGCCACAGGACGAACATGAATACATGACACGTTTTATGGATAACAACGTCTTTTTATTCTTTATCACAACGCTTCAGGGCTAATTCTTACTCATTCATGAGGTGTATACAATTGGTAAAAAAACTATGTTCTGAATATTTAAGCTACTAACGGTAAGAGACGACTAAAGGGATCGGGTGGTCAGGCTCACTGACTTGGCTGACACATGTCACCGTATCCCAATTGCGTAGATCGATGATCATGCTGTTCATAACTGATTTGTCTGGTCCGGACTCGATTAATACAGACCGCCGCCATATAGCTGGAATATTGCTGAAATATTGCTAAACAACAAGAAAGAAAAGAAACCAAAACCAAAAAAATAAAATCAACAACAACCAAAAAACCCTAAAAACTATAACGATAACAATGCTATTTTCAGAAATGTCTTACGGATTTTCATCAAATTCAAGCGCAGCTGTGACACGTAAGGTGCAGTGTTACTGTTTACGTCTCTAAGCATTACCATACATAACCGCGAAGGTTTTACTTCATTATCATTGGAACCATAATAACTTCAAATCTTTTGACAGTTTCAGATTCCAAGCCAGTAATCGTTGCTTCCGCCACACTGGGATCTGTAATAGTCATTCTCATTGTGGCTGCCACTGCTCTCTTTCTAAGTAAGTAATTACATTTCGAACATAACATGTGCGAAATTAATCTTTCTGTAATTACATTTCATCGTACATTTAACAGCTGTCACTTTTATGGTTTGGCGAAAAAAGATTATGTTTGACTCCACTGGTGTACATCTTCTTTGTCAGAGGAAGGGCGGTGGGGAGCCAAATAGTCGCACTGGAGACTCGGGTTCGATTCCCCACACGGGACAAAGTGTGAAGCCCATTTCCAGAGTCAGTCGCCGTGATCTTGCTGGAATATTGCTAAAAGTTGCGTAAACCACATTCACTCATTGTCTGAGGACGGACATTTTTATGAATGTGGAAAAGATTTTGTCGCTTCTCTTTACAACAAGGAGGTATTTTCCCACTAAATGTACACGTCCTTTCAGTATTTGCGCTATTGATCAATCATATCATTTAATATTATTTGTGCTAAGTGAATCTTTTGAATCATTCAGTGTTTGCATTATTTGTCAGTATTGTTTAACGAATTTATAAGATTATGACCTGACAATTTAACAAGCGAATGTGGGTTATCTATGGTTTCCTATAATTGCCATCGCGTGGCGCATAAAAAAAGAACTACGTCGTGGGCGACGTCGCCCACGACGTAGTTCTTTTTTTACGCCCCACGCGATGGCAATTATAGGACACCATAGTTATCCGGGCAAGTCATAACGTGAAGACAGTGAGTGAGTTTAGTTTTACGCCGCACTCAGCAATATTCCAGCTATATGGCGGCGGTCTGTAAATAATCGAGTCTGGGCCAAACGATCCAGCATCATGAGCATGGATTGGGATACTATGACATGTGTCAACCAAGTCAGCGAGCCTGACCACCCGATCCCGTTAGTCGCCTCTTACGACAAGCATGGGTTACTGAAGATCAATTCTAATCCGGATCTTCACGCGTCGTGAGGGCAATGAATAATATCAGTGCTTTTATAGTCCACGTAGCAAATGAATGTGAATACTTCATGTACCTTATGTAAACTAAATGATCTTACCCAATACGAATTATTTTTACTTGATCACTAAAAGTTATTTTGAGAGGGCCACATGTCCTGCCTTTCTTTCGGGTAACGACGGTGAACTTGACCGAAACACCGTATTACGGACTGGCTGTCCCTCTACGTCCAGAGGATATTTTACTCAGGATATTTACTCGTGATTAATTTCCACATGCTATTTACTTGAGGGGTATTCGGGAAAACACGAACTATACCATGAATATGGACTAGTGTGTTGAAACTAGATATGATGTTGAAAACGTTTTTATCTTTTGTTTCAGCATTCCTTAGTTTTGAAATCTTATCAGCGGATTAAATATAAAACATATAGCCTTGTTGTAATTTTAATTAAAATTTAATTTGTGTTCATGGAATCTACCACTTTCAGAAAGGTGAGACTGTGGAGCTGTTGGTAGAGGACAGAACTGAGATGTTGTCAAGTTGAAGCGGCTCAGAACAAAAGAAGAACGTATACCAAAATCTACTGTAAATAATGTAGTGATTGTTATACATATTCATTGTGACAATACTGTGTTTATCCGTCTAAATATGCCAATTCCTCTATTCACATGTCCTTCCGACGACACTGGGATCCGTAAGAAGGTCACGGCACTTCGCGAGATCTCAGTACTTCCGGTGACAAACAACGTTTCATAGCTTTTGTCTCTTGGTTGCCAACCAACGGTAAGGAACAGACAATCCTTGCAGGAATAACAAATCTCCGATCTAATCTAATTAATGCAGCATATCATTCGTAACATTTCTCTTCACATCTTTATTTTGTTCGTTGTTTAACACCGCACTCAGCAATATTCCAGCTATATGGCCAGTGATCTAGTGATCAACTTCATGAGCATCAATTGGGATACGATGACATGTGTCAACCACGTCAACGAAACTGACCACCCAATTCCCTTAGCCGCCTCTGACGACAAACATGGGTTGTTGAAGACACATTCTGACCCGGATATTCACCGTTCTCAAAGCACCGTGTAAAGACATCTGTCCTATTTTATCAGCACGTTTAGTAGCCATCTTTATATGATACAACCCGGAAGTTGATATCAACTCAGACACATTGTAATGGCACCGAGGCGATCACTCCCTTTGATAAATACGTATTGCTGAGTACCAGGAGGGGTAACAATACATATCACCATGTAACGTCTTTGGTATGACGCTAACCAGGACATCGAACAACAGTCCTTCTGCGCCACGTGAATACACTCACACGTTTCACCTCTATTCCCAACATGGCACACATAACATGATTAGTTGAATTCAGTTTCATCTCTATTCCTAACGAGGCACACAACATGATTAGCTGATTTCTGTTTCACCTCTATTCCTATCGTAGCACACATACATACAAATCAAATGCCTCAATCATCCACTGCTGAAGATGTGAGTGGAGAGGTAACATTTGAGTTTAGTTTTCCTTGATGTTATGCAGATGTTATTATAATCTGTGAAGAAAAGAGTATCCTCGCGTATGTCATTCATCAAAGTTGCATTGTGAAATCATTGTTCCCTCAAGATCATAATGAATAAATAAACCATTGGGTTGCGAGTGAGTGAGTGAGTGAGTATGACTTTAACGATATATTAGGAATATCATGGCAGAGGAAACCAGAAATGGACACATTTGGGGAATCAACGTGTTCTTTCAGCGTGACGATCAAACGATTTAACCTCAAGGCTGTCCAATCGTCACTCAAACACTTTCGGACTGTACACCAAATTCTAGAAGAATTTAATGAAGTACAACCGTTGGTAGATTGGACTAAACGGTCATTGATAACTTGAAAGATTTGACACCAGTGTCTGTGTACGCTATCTAACGTATCGAGCTTATCACAAACTGTCCGCCGGGGACGTCACATGCCTGTAATATCTTGTCAACTGTACAATGAGGAAGTAGTTTACAACAAACGCCTCCTGAATTTTACATGCAGTAGTGTGGGATCATGTAAGCAGCCAGTACTTCTCATCGGATGTACCTGTCGTTGTCTCCAGAATGAATCCAGGATTAGGATTCTGTTGCCTCCTGCTCTTCTCGGTTGTCTATGCGGTAGGTAATACACGCATGTTATCTTCGTGTCCCAGTTTCAGTTTTGAACCAAGAAATATCATACGTGATCTTGAAAACACCAGCTCTCAGTTTGCTGGGAGCATTTTCATGTAGGACAAATGTTATGACAACTATGTTGATCGCAGTTTTAGTTTGATATCGAGTCAGTCAAATCTCTCGACATTTAGCGAGCCAAAGGTTAGATTCATATAATATATCTTTTCGTACTGTATTTCTGTTTCTAAGACTGCAACGTTAACAATGATTCACTCTCAATGAAGTGTGCTCATACAGATAATATGTTTCAATACTGTTGAGGCAAACATCATATCACTAGCTACCCAGCCAATAATCTCGCCGAAACACATGAATGCCCTGCAGTCAATATTGTACGTCCTTTTCGTCAAATTTGACAACACATCTGAACACAATAATCCACAGGTATTACCAAATATATTTTGTTGGATATTCTTTCGTTTTAGCAAAGATTTTCAAGTTTAGGTAAGTTAGTCGGTGACTAAGTGAGTTTGCGTTCAGTGCAGATAAGAATATATTGCAAGTCAATGATGCTCGAATTTTTCAAGGAGACATCTTTATGGCACTATCATGAAATTACCCTTTCGTCCAATATTTGGTACTATTTTGGAAAAATTAATCTTTGCCGGCACTAATTCTATATGTTGACTGCATGAAAGCGATGTTGGTTTAACTATCATGCAGGGTCAGGTAATCCATAAAAAAACGCTGCCTAAACACGCAACGTTCACAAGTAAAACCTGCCACAGCCTGACTCGCACACATACGCCTAAAGGAACACAAACCCTCCCCAGAAAGAAGATATGGAGTTCGAAATAACATCAGCTATCCAAAACCAGCAAGAAACGAAACTTCACATTCGCAACTGGAAGAGTTCGTGTTCATTTTACTCCGTTCTTGTGGTGGGAAGGGGGAAGGTTAAGGCCTTCGCTCGTTTAGTCATAGATCAATGTTCATATAAATAGAAAGTGTTTTATAACAATATCAATATAATAATAATATCCTCGTCAAATTATATTGTACTGAATGTAAAATAATCGTGTCTGCACAATGCTTTGTTTCAGGATGCTGATGTACAGACGTCAGATACACCTCTTATATCTTCCTCACTCTCACCTTCACCACCATCAAGTCAAAATTCACCATCTACATCGACAACATGGACAACAGCAACATCACCACAACTAACGTCAACACCATCTTCAACACCACCACCACCCCCACCACCACCACCACCGACACCTACTACGACAGACACGCCTTGTATTATTCTTGGCAAGTCATGTCAGAAGCCCCAGTCGTGTTGTCAAGCTGAACATGCGACGTGTTACAGCAGCATCTGTCAGTGTGAAGAGAACTTCTTTCAGGATGGGACGGCATGTAGTAATGGTGAGTCCAAAGTAGTGTTTCATCAGATTGTCGATTGTGGATGAGTGAATAAAGTCTTACAGATGAATCACAGATAAATGATGGAGAGGTGAGGTGAAATTGGGTTTAACGTCGTGCTTGAGACTATTTCGCTCATATGACGACGTGCGTGCGTGTGTATGTGTATGTGCGTCTGCTTGTACTAGCCCAGACTTAGGCTGGTTTTATAGTGCTAGCCCACTGAGATACCATGCCGCAGTGAAGCATGAATAGCCCTCTCAGACACATTATACTGACTCCGAGCCGACCAGTCCTTGCTGTAACCCATTAATGCCGAGCGCTAGGCAGGAACCAACAAGTACCACATTTTAACGTCTTTTGGTATGACGCGGTCGGGGATCGAACCCGCGACCTTCCGCTCTCCGGGCAGACGCTCTAACCACTACACCACGGAGGCGGTACTGATAAATGATGGAGAAAAGAATCCCTACATAACATATATATAGGTGTCATACCAAGAACCGATATGAAATTAGTAACCATGGTCCAACCTTGTGCAAGTCATTTCCCGTCCAATCAGTCGTCATAAGTTATTATGATGTGCTATATACATAGAACAATAAAAAATACTGTGGACAAAATAGTGGGGAAAAAAGAAAGCAGGTCATGACACAATCTGTATGAATAGAAGCGAAATCTTGGAGAAGTAGAAGGAATAGATTAGAACCACACATGTGACTCATCATACTGAAACAAGTCTATTTGAGTTTCAAGGGAAAATTCGCATGGTGGAACATTTTTCAATATTTCCTGTTGAATTTACATTCCTTTTCAATTTTCCTGACCTGCATATTGTTGATTGATGTACACGTGAGCCTACGATATATGTGTCATACTCGTACACGAGCGATTCTATATTATTTCATCATTTTTACTTGTAAAGTCACGTTGTTGAATGTAAAGAATCAGCGAGGTGTCCGGACCAGAGTGAATCCTTGTTGTTATAATATTGTACTAAGATGATTTTCAATCTTTTTTAGTCTCGAGACTGAAAGTAACCAACATCACAGCGACGTTTGTTGGTGAGACCTACATAACTCTTGGATGGACAAACCCCAACGATATCAAGCCCAACGTCACCTACACAGTCCAAGGTCATAGTTGGAACTCATCGATGGACAGGACTATAACAGGACTACGTCCAGGACATGTTTATGAAATAATCATCACATCTTCCATCACCCAGTACAATGTTACGAAGCAAGTAAACAGCACACCTGTATACATCAGGACATGTGAGTATTCTTATCAATCTGACGAATGAGGACGAGTGGTGCAATATATGTACAAATCTCTTAGACTTTGGAAATTATTTAAGTTCAACTTAGACATAAATAGAAGCGACAAAACCCTTTTCACATTTATAAGAAATCTCTGCTTTGCCGATTGTACAGTGATGACTGTCTCATGAGCAGATACTTGTTTAAACAGTATTACAGCTGTGTGATGCTGTTTGTAACAAATCGGTCTGAACCAGACAATCCAGTGACATGGGCATGCTTAGAACATTCACAGCTCATTCGACAATAGACTGTCTTTGTGGCAGTTAATTCGCGGTCGATTACAAGAAGTGGTAAGATTACATACATTCTAAAAGTTGTTCATTTTAGCCTTAACATCAATATCATCTACTTATAAAAAGGCTGTATCCAAAGGAAACCATGGATGGTGTTGGTGATGGGTGCCCGGACTTACGACACATTGTCTATATGATATCATAGGAACGGAGGGTTTCGTCGTTATGTGAACATTGCTGTCATATCTGTAGAGCAACACAAGTTACGGAAAACCAAACATAATTGTATAGATTCCAGCCTATGAAGACGATATTTCTATCTATTGTCGACTTGCTGCAAGGTGAGCTACACTCATTTGCATTAAGAAAGTTTAAGTTCTACACACAGTTTGCGTATGAATATTCTCTCTACAGTATTAGGATAACTTAATATCAGTTAGATATAACATTAATGATGTATATCCTTTAGATTTTTCATACGTATTTTAGCACAGAACTGTTTACACAAAGAACGAACTTGAAGCATTGAAACTTGAAGACAACATTTTTTTTTATAGCTTTCGTAATGATGACAATGAGAGGTTCCCACATGTCCCATAAGTGAGTGAGTGAGTTTAGTCTTACGCCGCACTCAGCAATATTCCAGCTATATGGCGGTGTCCCATAAGAATGTATTGAAACTTTACACATGATGATCTCGAACATATGCTTTATAAGTATAATTATAAGAAGTCGAATATGTATCTGTGCATTCCGACGTCGAAGTGAGCGTTTCGCCAAGAAGCATTGCGTTGAAATAATTCACTTTACTGAAGATATCGTGGTAGTGTCAGGTGAGATTACAACAACACAGAGGATTGATTGATTGATTGATCGAAGGAAAACTGAAGGTTCAGCATTAGCGTGGTGAGATCATTCTCTCTGTTGTCATCCCGTTCCTCAATACACGTCCTCTTGGTTTGACCTTTCCTCACGATAACGACGACGCTAGACCACATGTCGAGCGAACTGTCCACATATATTACATACAGAATAATTTGATTGTAACTACATGATCAATCTTTTTATCTTTCTTCAATAGAGTGAGTGAGTGAGTTAAAATTTAACGTCACATCGGCAATATTGCAGCCATATCGTGACGAGAACAGTTGATACCAATATTCAAATCAATAAATGTAGAAAGTAAAAACCTTTGTTCAATAGAGTATGTTTTGGATTCAGTGTATCAAAATTTGACTTGGAAATATTCCTGAGAGTAATGATTAACAAGTTTGAATCTGGAATGACATTCTACCGACCTACATATAAGTCTCAATCCACAGTTTGGTCTCTTCCATGTGACAAATGAATTGTATTCAAACTCTTAGTTACGCTCACATAAATTGCTAACTTGTACATTAGCGCTTCTGGCATGTTAACCATAAAGTGTCACCCCAACTCGAGTGATCGTAACGTTGACGTCACTTTTATACACTTGAATAAGTCATAGTCCCAACAACTCACATGAAAGTGTCCTTTGTGGTTATGTACATACATAAAGATAAATTGTCTTTTATGAATGCCTAATTTATTGACTCCAGATATGGTATTATCTTTAAGACCCACAGTGACACAATCATCCCCACTGGACAGCATGTAAATAGTTTACTGGGCTGGATCGATTTCATGAAACTATTGTTACTACTGTAACAATCAAAGAGTCACGAAGAGAATCGTAACCAAACGATCTCAATGTAAAATGTGCTTGTTGGTTGCCTGGGACGTCATCTCTGTTTTGGTAAACAGGGTAGTGTGCTCACAAACAAGAAATCATGTTTCTTCTTCGTTGCAGACCCATCTCAAGTTACAGTTTTAAACAACCCAGCAAGAAAGGTTCCTGCATCAAACCTTTCCCTGACCTTCAATATAAGTGATGGCGAGGCAAGCTGTTATATCATCACAGTCAAGCACCAAAATATGGTTGTTTTCAACATGACTGTACATGACAATACTACTGAAACCATCAAAACACGAATAGAAAACCTTGAGTCTGCCAAGACCTACAATATATCAATCATTACGGTATCAGGGAATCGCCACAGCAACGCCTTAACATTCCCATTTACAACAAAGGACAAACGTAAGTATGAAGTATCGATAATGTAAATTAGTGGACGTACATCCTTAGATGATGTATTAGATTGACTTCTATCGCCGATATTCATTTAAAACATGCTTATATACAGATAACAATCAGTATTAAATTTGTTTATTGCAGAGGCGGGGATTATCACCCGGTTCAACGTGACAAATGTGACAAATACCAGTATATCTGTGTCGTGGTCACCACCAAGTGAAACCAGAGGAAGTATAATTGGATATAGTTTGAACGTCAGCAGTGGACCAATCGATCAGGACTTCCAACTACTTCTAATTTGTAGTAATTGCAGTTATATACAAAAAACGGTAAGAGTCACATTCAGATCTCGTGAAATGTATTATGAAATAAGAAACACATAACAATAAATGTTAAATAAATGTTTACTCGCGTTACATTTACCGAAATAACTGATTTCAAAATCTTTTTCTATTGCAATTTCGGCAAACATTGGTTGCAAAAGTGCCTGGGTCCCTCTCTGTTATGTTTTCTGAGAAACAGATAAGCAAATTTATTCACATCCTAATATATCTGTATGTTGCTCAAATGAACCTTGGTTATTCTTACTTATGTAGAAAATTTGAATCATCGGAATAAGTTCAGCTGTGACTAAAGATGATGTTCATTTAAGCTCAAGTTGCACGCTGACGTTGGAATGAACATATCTCTGAATATAAACAAAGATGTCCAATACACCATACAGAACCTACTGCCATTTGAGAATTATACACTAACTGTGAATGCCTACAATGAAGCAGGGCAAGGTGAAACGTATCTCAACAGGACCAGAACCTCCATTGGTGGTAAGTTAATTCACAAATAGAAAGCTGGGATGAGAGATTTTGTGATATTGAACATTAATTGTGTGATAGATCTCTTTGAAATGAGGGAATTATATAAGTCTCACAGCATCAGGGGAGACTGTATCTGTATCTTAATGAAATCAAAGTGGAAGGTCAGCACAGATTCCCTGGCTTAATGCCAAGAGTCAAACCCACGAATACTTATGTCGTGTTCGTCCTTTCTATATGTTTGTGGTGCTTGGAGGACAAAAGTAAATTCTTAGCACTGAGACCCTCAGACGAAGAAACCTGCCAGCTAACAGATGTAAGGTAACAGATATACGAACCTAACAAATTCGTGTGCTTGGACTAGCTATCAAGAACACAACCCCGACACCCTTGGACTGACTGACTGACTGAGTTTGGTTTTACGCCGCTTTTAGCAATATTCCAGCAACATCACGGCGGGTGACATCAGAAATGGGCTTCACACATTGTACCCATGTGGGGATTCGAACCCGGGTCTTCGGCGTGACGAGCCAACGCTTTAACCACTAGGCTACCCCACCGCCCCGACACCCTTGGACGTACTTAAGGCGGCAATGTTGGGGAGTCCACATGCATGACGTCACACTGTGTTGACGTCACCACGCCATTCTCGTCTGCCCCCTCGTTATAAAAGGTACCTTTGGTAACCGACGTCACGCAGCATGTCCGTTGTCATCGCCTCGCACAGCCTCCTACAGTAATCTACTCCGTAGCACCCCGTCACTTGATTTGCAGTTGCTTCACCCGGCTAACATCACTGGTGGAAACATTACGTTTATGTCTTTTCGACGGAAAAATGTCTCAGTTCGACTCACAATTAAACAGCGACACGGCAACGTTCGCAATGTTTACATTCCCAAAAAGCATCTTTGGAAGGTGGCGTGACTAGTCAGCTTCAACTGGATATACTGATCTAAACTAACGTTTGTGGTAGAAATGCGACGTTCTTATTGCCCCATTTGGTTTACGTTAATCACAGATGTAATTAAAAGAATTTAGAGAAGATATTTAACCCGAACGTAAACCGTCATCAAACTGTTTATCATTTGTTTTTCTGGTAATGTGCGTCTTAGAACAGCGTGCATTGTTAATTTAAGTCACAGACATCGTCGTTTTTCTGTTTATTTTCTGCCTTAGATTAATCGTAATTAATTTTAGAAAGTATTAAATTTGGCATCTTAGAAAAGAAATACAGTTCGCTCTACCACTATGTATCGTGTACACTTTTGACCTGAACTATTATAACGTTAAACTTAATTGACGTAGTAAAAGTTGTAGAATGAATGAATTCACGTTTTTGTAATGAATGAGAAAGTAGTCACAAGGTGACCTAATTGAGAAGTCATCGGTTATCCAATCAAATCGTTAGAATCTCTGGTCAAGTCGTTACGGCACAGGTCAACGCAATACCAGATAAGTATGCACCTACCCATACGTTGACCACGTGGGTAATGAATAATCATATTTAACCACACCGGGCAATTATCCGTCTTTTTATCTTAATAATAAATAAATAATAAATAATAAATGTGCATTTATAATGCGCGCAATCCAGACAAATATGCCTGCTCAAGGCGCTACAAGGGGATTGTATAAAGATAAAAGTCAGGGAGTGTTGACTGGATTTAAATGTCACTATGATACTTGGAGAACATATGGGTCTTTAGTCTTGATTTGAATTACTCAAAGGTTGGACACAGTTTCAACTCTGATGGAAGTGGTTCCAGAGGATAGGGGCAGTGCTGGAGAAGGATCTGGAGCCAAATGTCTTCAGTCGATATTTAGGAACTTGGAGGAGATTTTGGTCACTTGATCGGAGTTTTGGTGCTGGAGTGTTTTGAGTCAAGAGTTCAGATAGATAGTCAGGGCTGGTGTTATGGAGGCATCGATAGATGATACAGAGAAGCTTGAACTCTATTCTAGCTTTTACTGGCAACCAGTGGAGGTGTCAAAGCACATATGCTGGCTGGAAACGTTGAGAACATTTCTATACATTAAATTCACACATAAGTAAATCGTTTTACTTTTAAAACGTTACTTGTCTGTAGATATAGTTATTGTAATCTAACCGTGAAACGTAACGATCTTTTCCAAAATGCCAATTGCACGTTGAATTGAGTTTAGAATAATATCGTAATTCTCAGTCTGGGTTTTTATCAATGAAGTGTGCAGCGACACACGAACTCGTTTTGCTTCGAATTTTACCCAAACCATGTTCACGTGCCCATCATGTAAGACGCTTGCACGAAATTGGCGTGAATGCGCGCAATTCATAACACCTTCTGAATGGGAAAATCATTTGTTAAATATAAACTTGGTTCCCAAATAATATTACCACAAAACAGAACATCCCCTACGATTTTATAAAATTATATGAATATGTGTTCTTCTGTATTTTAGCTACGTTTTGTTTCCCAAGCTTATAGAGATACTCAATTTTGTTCATGTAGTTCCGTCACCGCCAAAGGAGCTAGATGTCTTTAATATCAGCTCGTCCAGTGTGACCCTGTTCTGGCAGCCCGCTGACCACCAGGACGGACCGACCACCTACTACATCACAGTAGGGGAAGCAACCCACTTAACATCAAACAGCTTCCAAGAAAAAATGGTTGTCAGTGTCAGCGGTATGTCTTTTAATTTAAATAAAGGCATATAGGTATATAAACTGACATTTAGACCGTTTCGTCAACTAACTAACATTTTGATAAGGAACCGAGTTACTGCACAAATTGTCATTGTAGTTGGTGGAAAAGGGAAAGGAAAGCATATGTGACAGTACCCGATTGTTGACGTACTAGTATTTGCAATCTGGTCAAGGCACTGGTTGATTACGGGTTACAATCGGAGTGAACTACGGATGTAAATCAACGACGAGGACAGCTACAGCACACACTTCTGTCTTGATATGTATCTCATAACACTGTGGAACTCGTTAGTCATATGTAAATTAAGTAGTTGTAGTAACAAGTTATCCATCGCTTCATTTTCTTTCGAAGAATACAAGCCGGTTAATGGCAAGGTGCTGCAGCTTCAAATGTTACCCCATTTGCCATTACAGTTGCCAAAATGGCTAAACTTAAAAACTATCTGTGTCTGTCCATAAAACTCGAGCATGTAACAACCCACTTTATGTTGCACTGGTGTTAGATTCACGTTGGATCAAGGTGGAAAAATTTAATGCCTCACCTTCCATAGAGGTTTTCTCGCACAAATATCCAAATGTGACGCATAAGTTACAAACTGGATGTCCGATTTAAATCCTGACTTGAACTGTAAGCGATAGTGATTTATAAACACGACAATGAACACTGCTTTTAGCGGCGATTTTTTTATGCTTATGGAAATGAGTTTTGTCGAATACATTACACGTTTTACCGATAACAAATTTTTATTCTTTATCACGACCAGAGGTAAGTTTTGCTCCTGCATCAGTTAGGAGAATGCTGAGTCAGTGCACAGAGCTATGTCGGTATATTAGTTGGGGTTAACGCTATTGGAGCAGAATTACATTTCTAATATTCTTAACATACATGATAGTACTTTAGTATATACAAGGATTTTACATAACATGTCAAACGTCTCGATACAACGCCCGTATGCATCAGCTTACAAATATGTGAATTACCTCCTGCTACTTCCTTAGCGTCGGGGCATGTTGGAGGTTAAAGTGTTCAGCTCTGTTCATCCAGCAGAAAAATGGGTACCCGGTGGAATAAGTCATTTGACTATAACAGGCAGCTTGGGTTACCCAGGTTAATAATGTGCTGTGCTATTGATGGTTACCACTATGAGCATACCAGTGTGGAATGTGGCGCTACATAAATGGACACATTCTTATTATCTTATTTGGAACTTGATCTGGTTGTTATGCATGTTTGACATTCTTCTTTTTTCAGGGTTTATGAATTTATTGATATATGTTGTATTGGTGTGAAAGTATATAACATTAATATTTATGCTGTCAATAAGCGGATTCAGTATTATGTTAACCTTCGATGTCTTAACCGTCTATTTGTGATGTGTGACTAAATATTAGTACACCTACCAGTATATCCTGACAAACAAGTTGTGTAAATATTCTTGATTTACTTCATTCACGTTAAGTAATGGAGTAGCATGTAGATACTACGTAAAGGTACCTAAGCATGTTTTACAACTCATTTGTCCCACGTTATTATCCTTCAGGATTTAATAGCACATCCGTCCTGGTTGAGGGTCTCTTGAGTTACTGGAAGTACACCTTCAACATCACAGCAGCTACTCCAGTTGGAAACTCAAGTGTCTTGTCTGTAAATGAAACTGTCCGGATTCAAGAGTCAGGTACACAATACTATAATCATCCTCATTATTTCTCTTTTAACTTTACCGCCATGTAGCTGGAACATTGCTGAGTGCGGCGAAAAAGTAAACTCATTCACTCACTCTATTACCTTTAGTTCATAAGAACCAAACAAAAGTTAAAGGTCACATGCAACGCAAAACAAAACTGCAGATTCTGATACCTTTCGGTATGGACTTAGAGTAACAAATTATCAGAAATGCAAATTCAACTTAGAAAGATGAAAAATAACGCGATGAAACCCCCCCCGCGAAATCGGAGTTCAAACGATTCACTAATTTCACCCCAGCTCTGGGATGAAAAGTGTTTTCAACAGCCGTGCTGCGCTGCGCCCATAGCGCATGTTCAGTGATTAGGTTCGCGCGGCTTAAACCGGAAAGGCGACTCGTAAAAAACACAGCAAGTGATGCGTGCAAGGATTATCGCAGTGGTCGAAGTTGGAGAACAAAAGATGTTTCTTGTGATTACAAGCATCTTTGGTCTGGAGTAATAAAAATACACTGGTCCCATACTCTTTCTTATATGTTTTCACATCTTTCTTTTGGGGGGTTGGCAGATTTGCAAACCAAGTTTTCATGAAAGTGTAGCATTAGAAATACTAATTTCTTTGTTAAAAATTGCTCAGCTTGAAAAGTGAAATGTTTTAATACATGTCTATGGAAACATAGAAAAATATGTTGATTGTGCTAAGCAGTCTCTGTCACAGACAAAACTCAATATACGTTTTATTGACACCTATGTGTCTGCCTGCCTGTCTGTCTGCTAATGACAATATGCAATACACAACTTCAATCATTGACCACATGCAATTTGAACTTGAAACGTATCAGGCTATACACCATAAACAAAATATATTGATTTATGGCTCGCGCACCTGAGTTCTGTCTCTGTCACATTATGTAATTATACAGTGAGTGAGTGAGTGAGTGAAAATTTAAAGTCACTTTGGCAATATTTCAGCCATATCGTGACTAAAACAACATAGATATTAACAATAATTAAAGATAGAGTATAAAATACTGTCAACGAAGAACAGTAAAACAACTAGAATATCACAGATATAAATGGAAAACTAGTAATTAAATCTAAAACATTTTAACTCTAGAGCACAACACAATATATAAATAGGCTATAGATCACCAGCAACTGAAGGTAGTTCACCATACTAGGGACTGTAATTATACAGACAGGCAGGTGTGATACTTGTACACATGACATGTTATTATGTCTTTGGGTTGCAAACAAACAGCATCCATTTTTCCCGGTTTACTGGATCGGACGGAAACCGGTGCAAACTCAGATTGTCAGTTTCAAGTCCTGCTTTGTACTTGAACGAACGACAGTTTCCAGCCACGCAGTAGTTCGCCATCCCAGTATTTGTTGATTGGATCGAAAGCAAATGCAGAAAAAATGAGCATGTATTTACAAAACCCACAATGAGTCCGAATTGCAGCGTATCGGCAAATGAACCAGCCAATGGAATCTTCGTTATACTTGAGTGCACACCCATCCACTCTGACTGGGTTCAGTCTCCCGGGTGCGTCTACACAAAGTGGAACTATCCAGTTGGACTAATGTTTTGAAACATTTTGCCAAATTACTACGAATTATGTGATGTTAAAAATCACGATAATTGAAAGGTAATAGCTGGAACCCCTTATACATACAAAACTAAGTTGCTAGAAAATCCATAATGTTTTCTGATACCGTGGAGTCTGCCACTACATTCTGACACTGTCTAAATATAGTAGATATGTTAGTCAAAATATCTCTACATGTACAATGTATAAAAGGTGACGCATTGTTGCACAACGTATTACACTGCCTCATATGACTATTAATCACAGTTCTAACATCACGAATAGAGTAGGATTTCCCGTAATCTGGTAGAAAAGAAGAATCCTATCAGAAAAGAATAGAAAAGAAGTATGCTATAACACGTAAAACATCAGGATATGTATCCGTAAGGCACTAATCTAAAAGGATACAAACTGTTTTATCAATAGAACCAGGAACCCTCAAACCGAATTACTTATAGACGGATAAATACCTCCTGAAAGTCTGCCATATTTAGCTATTTATAGGGCTGTACTAAAATTGCTTGATAATGAAATCATACAGTTCAGGTATGTCAATACAATTCATGCTAACATGAAAACCATCATACAGTCTACACTGCATGAGATTCAAGGAATCCACGTAAGCCATGTGTCATAAGAAAACATAATGTTTGCGGAACGACGATTGGAACGATATTGTTAATATCTATGTTGTTTTAGTCACGATATGGTGGCTGAAATATTGCCAAAGTGACTTTAAATTTTCACTCACTCACTCACTGTATAATTACATAATGTGACAGAGACATCAATATCGTCTTTGTAGTATTTGAGCACAATTAAGCCACGTATTTTCGACTGTACCCAACCTGAATTATTAATAAAGCCCAGTTTGCATTCATAGCTCCTGGCAAGGTAGAAAATCTTCGCATCCATCAGGATCCAGGAAATTATACCAGTGTTGAAGTCATCTTCTCCTGTCCCATTGAAACCGAAAGACATGGCGTCTTAAGATATTACAAACTGTCGTATGAAGCTAAGGTATGTCTCTTTATTGCAAAGGTATAATTACACTTTCTTTAATAATCTGTTAGTGTAGAAATAAGGTGTAACTGCATTTAGTTTACTTTAACCTCACTTAACGGATAATGGGTTGCCGCTCATCCGACAAAAACGCAAAAATGAAACGGATATTCAGTGCCTATGCATTGAACATTGTATGCAATGTGTGGCATTATTTGGTTTGATTTAAAATTGTATCACAGCAATGAATGAAAATCACCAAGGATTGAACATGTCACACATAACATGTTATGAATGAAATGACTTTTAAGTGCTGAATTATTTGCTTTGTGAGTTCTTATTTTGTTGTTCTTCTCAGAGGAAAAGTATAACAACAGCGTGGTACACATTCCCCAAGTATTTAACATTCCAGCTGATTTTGAGTCCAACTGTAATTACTCACAGGTTTACTTTGTTTGTTTTTTGACAGGAGAAATATACAACAAACGTGACAGAAAATCCCCAAGGATTAATGATTTCAGCTCAACCTGATTCCAAATGTAACTACTCACTGGTGGTACCCGTGACAGCTCAAGTAAACTACATGTTTTCGGTGAGTGAGGGCAAACTGTTCACATAAGATGTGCAAACGCGTACTATTTTTATATCCACTGAAGACTCATCTTTGCACATTCTTATGTGAATAATCAATGTTAACTTTGATGTCTTTATACTCACATAAAATGTAGATTGCTCAAGCAAACATATTCACTGATCACTGCATAATTATAAGGACACCACGAGGTGAACTGCAATGTACTTTTGGAACAACTGTACTTTATAATCCCATGCTTGCATCCGACATTATATGAAACTAAAACAATTGTGCATCACAGTACGGTAATTGTGTACATGTCGTTCCCCCTAACGTCCTCATCACAGGTTTAGAGATGAACTTGACGTGATTTGATTACAGGTACAAGCATTCAACACATACGATGGAAACACTTCTCCCATGAGTTATACCACACACACCGGAGGTACATCAAACTGTTCCTGACTTCGGACGTCACGGTTAAGCATTTATATCTAATGTGATCATTATTTTCTCAGTGAAAAATCAAATGACGTTTAAATGTGCTCAACGTCATAAAATCTCTCAACATGATAACGAGGCATTTTTTTATAGTCTAATCTGCACATGACATGAATATAGCCGTTTCCATAGAGTCCGGTCCCGTGGCTAGTTTGGATGTATTGGATACAACAGCAGATTCCATCACAATGCAATGGGCCAGACCATCACTTCCAAATGGCAACATCCTCGGGTATCTGATCAATGTTACATCAGACGGCAACGGTAGCCAAGTTATAAATGTAACGTGTGGACAGCTTGAGGTAGGTGAGAGTACAATCATATGACACGTTTCTTAAGAAGTGAACAAAAGTGTAAAGACCTGTATACTGTATAAACATAATTACGATTCGCTCTGTGAATATATATATATATGTTTTCACGTTATAGAGGAAGTTTACTATCTTATATGTAAGCAAAGCTTTTGCGTGCTTCAATATGGATATATGCGTTATTTAAAGTCACAGAAGAAGCACAGCTGTAAAACGAGTGGTGCTGTTGTCAACCATGATGAAAATGGGCAATACGACTATAATATTACAGCCTTGCAGTCCTACACCGACTATACAATAGTTATATCTTGTGTCAACATAAACGGAACAGGGGAGGAAAAGAGCACCACTGTTCAAACGAGCATGGCTGGTACGTGTGATGATGTTAATGTTATTCAAACAAGGCTTTGAATTAGACATATTCTGATTGGTCAAACGGGATGTCTAGTTCCTAGAACTGGAACTAGTGTACGTGTGTTTTTACAGTAAGATACTGTAGCATTGTATAGAAATCACGGAGGTGGAAGGAGCAAAATGTCCAAACTTAGTAGGTATAGTATGAGATGCACAAGTTGTACGCTTACCTGAATGTATTATATTTCGTGATACCGCCAGATGAAAAAGCTGATCGCTGGTTCATCATAATTCAAATAATCACCAGAAACGTTAAGACCCATTAATTGGTTCATCAATATTCGAACAATCAGTGGAAATATCAAAAAGACCATGGAGTGTGTTTGAACTGTAATCCCTGTATCATAACCACCTGAATAGTCTGTCTCTCAGATTCTCTTACGTAGTATAATTCCTCCTCTGCTTGAAGTGACAAACGGCGGTATTCATGAAACTATAGGGAAGTTGCGATCAAGCAGTTTAAAATATACTGCTCATGCAAATGTCTGGTTGATCACGCCTTTCATCACTAATTCATCATCCTCCTAGTGTTGGGAATTGGTTGAAATCTCATAATAGATGATTGGTTCATTACAAGCGGTCAATCATCGAAAATAATTGGATAGGGTCCTTTATCAAATTTTCCTGGTTATGTTTGTTATTGCACAAAAAATAAAGAAAAACAAAAACATTACCATTCTTTCGAGTTTATTATTTTGCAAATTGCACAACATGCATTCGCAAAGTTCACATACATACAGGATGACAAGTATGTTAGGAACATAAATTTCCTTGAGTCTATAAGATAAATTCATGACTTGGAACGTGCTTGTAGTGCTGATGAAGCAGACAAAACCAACCATAACTTCCAAAATTGTTTGTCACGTTGTATTCGATTATGAGAAGACATGATCGATTGGTTAGTCGTATAGTCATTGCGACCCATCTTCGATTATTTCAATTAATCGGACCACCACTTCGCAGAATCAGTTGGAATGTCTTGACACATTGCGCTTTCATCAAGAATTGCAGAATCAGTAGAAATATCAACCTGGCCACTGTGATTATTATGTTTCTGTAGTTCTGTCACCGCCAAAGAAGTTCTGGGCCTCAGTCAACAGCTCGTCCAGTGTGACCCTGTTCTGGACCCACGCTGACCACCAGGACGGACCGACCACCTACTACATTACTGTTGGGGAAGCAGCCAACTTAACCTCAGACAGCTTCCAAGAGAAAATGGTTGTCAGTGTCAGCGGTATGTCTTTGAGTTTTAATGAGGACGTATTGGGAAAAAAACAAATTCACACCGTTTCTTCAATTACTATTACTACATTAACTAACATTTCTACATTGATAACAGGCCACTGCACATGTAAATTTGTCGTTGATACCGGATTGAGTGAGTGAGTGAGTGGGTGAGTTTTAGTTTTAGCAATATTCCAGCAATATCACTGCGAGGAACACGGTAAATTGGTTGCACACGCTGCACAATGTGGGGAAACGAACCGGGATCTTAAGCGTGACGAGCGAACGCTTTAACCACTTGGCTACCTCACCGCCCCTGATACGGAATTGAAAGAGCAGAGTTGAGTGAAACAGGCATGGTACGTTCATGGAAAAGCAAAGCATAGGTGATGTGTAGTCGATAGCTGACGATAAGCATTTGCAGCAGGGCCAAGATACTGACAGATTAAGGTTCATTATCAATTCCGCAAGCAAATCAACTACAAGGGTATCCCGGCAGCTGCACGTCTGTCCCGAGATTATCTTGATAATGTGGATTATCTTTAATGCTGTTATGTTGCTGTCCATTTACAAGTGGCACCGGATTCCAAATTGTGTTACCTATCGATTCCTGTAACCATATAATTTGATCAGACACGAGACATTGGTTCTCATGCCAGTATATTTTGACAAACAAGTTGTGTAAATATTCTTCATTTTCTTCCTTCACATTTCTATTGGAGCAGCTTGTAGCCATAATAAAAAGGTAGCATACATCACAATTAATACTTACTGCTATATATAATTCATGTTTCCATAATTTCGATGAAACTACAACACATCTGACTTCGTTATCTTCAGGGTTCTATAGCACATCCGTGCTGGTTGAGAGTCTACGGAGTTACTGGAATTACACCTTCAACATCACAGCAGCTACTCCAGTTGGAAACTCAAGTGTCTTGTCTGTGAATGAAACTGTCCGGACTAAAGAGTCAGGTATGAAGTAAAAAGCGAACAAAGGTGTATTCCTTTTGTTCATTTCCAATACTATTACCTATCAGCACCTAATAATAACATCTGACCTCATTTGGCCATCGCTATTACCAATCAGTATGAATCAATTACTGCCTTCACTTATTAAGTGTCTAGTGAGTGAGTGAGTTTAGGATTACGCCACACTCAGCATTATTGCAGGTTTTTGGCATCAGTCTGTAAATAATCGATGTGCATGAGATTGAAGGAATCCACGTAAGCCATGTGTCATAAGAACACATAACGTTTGCGGAAAGACGATTGGTCTAGCGCTGCCGCTCAAGACATCAATATCGTCTTTGTAGTATTTGAGCACAATTACGCCACGTATTTTCGACTGTACCCAACCTGAATTATTAATAAAGCCCAGTTTGCATTCATAGCTCCTGGCAAGGTAGAAAATCTTCGCATCCATCAGGATCCAGGAAATTATACCAGTGTTGAAGTCATCTTCTCCTGTCCCAAAGAAACCGAAAGACATGGCGTCATAAGATATTACAAACTGTCGTATGAAGCTAAGGTATGTCTCATTATTGCAAAGGTATAATTACACTTTCTTTAATAATCTGTTAGTGTAGAAATAAGGTGTAACTGCATTTGGTTTACTTTAACCTCACTTAACGGATGATAATGCGTTGCCGCTCATCCGACAAAAAAACGCAAAAGTGAAACGGATATTCAGTGCCTATGCATTGAACATTGTATGCTGTGTGTGGCATTATTTGGTTTGATTAAAAATAGTATCACAGCAATGACTGAAAATCACCAAGGATTGAACATGTCACACATAACATGTTATGAATGAAATGACTTTTAAGTGCTGAATTATTTGCTTTGTGAGTTATTATTTTGTTGTTCTTCTCAGAGGAGAAATATAACAACAGCGTGGTACACATTCCCAAAGTATTTAAACATTCCAGCTGATTTTGAGTCCAACTGTAACTACTCACAGGTTTGCTTTGTTTGTTTTTTGACAGGAGAAATATATAACAAACGTGACAGAAAATCCCCAAGGATTAATGATTTCAGCTCAACCTGAGTCGAACTGTAACTACTCACAGGTTGTATCCGTGACACCACAAACAAACTACAAGTTTTCGGTGAGTTGGGAATGTCCTCCAGTTACTCTTTAAAGCTATAAACCCAAGTGAGTCACTACATATCTGACGTGATTACTTGATTGAACTAGTGCTTTCATGAATCGTAGTCCACACAACAGTACCTAAGTGATGGGACACTTGATAATTGCTGTATCAAATATACATATGTATATCGTGTAAGATGTGTTCATATTGCACCGAGAATAAAAAATTTGTTCAGTTAAGTCGAGAGTCTATAGTTCCGGAAATTGTTCCATTTACATGTCTAGTGAGCGGAACACTTTGCCTTCTTTCAATTACAGGTTGTGGCTCATGATTCGTTTCCAGGCAGTGAGACAACTGAACGTTATTTCGAAAAAATTGGGAGTAAGTGTGTTTCTGACATTTCAATCAGTCAGATGCAGAGCTTAACATATGTACTCCATTTAGGATACACGTATATACAACTGATGCATACGCGGTGATAGAAATTAGAAACACTGTCATTCGATTGTCTAAATAAAACAGAAGAACCGGCTTGGCAAAAATGGTTATTCAATACTAGTAGCCTTCTTCTTTTGAAATGAATGTACATGTGAAGTTCTGTTTGTTAATGACAAATCAATATCAAGTCATCTAACTGCACGATACGCATTCTGCTACAGCGCCAGGGAAGGTATCGGATTTCACGAGCACGTCCACCACCAGCACCTCCACCTGCCTGTCCTGGGAACCTCCCACATACCCCAACGGCTACATCCTGGGATACATCCTGTATGTCCACACAGATGATAGGGAGTGTCAGCAGGCTGTGTACATTGTCTGCACTGACTGCCAGTCTCATGGAACCTTCAGAGTGGGTATATCAAACAGCATATCAATAGCCATGACAGGGTACAGAATTTAACTGCCCTCTGTCTGCATTGCCAGTTTACAGAGGCGTATGCTCAGCCAAAGCATATCGACCTTTAAATATTTAATGTCACAGTAATGTCAGCGATGTCCTCTTTTTCGTGACTCAAAGTGACGAGTTTTCATGTCTGTTTTCATGTCCTACTACATTTCATTTCATGACCTTTCATGACCTACTACATCAATATCCCAGAGAAAAGAAAAGTGAAGCAAGTCTAAATATTTGCTATGGCATCATGTTGAAGCTATAATCCAGGTGCGACTCAAGTTCGTATATGTAAAATGCTTTCCAGTTATTGAAGTGTTGTCTGTATCGTTCAAGGAGCCTTTCTTTGGGAAGTAGGGTAGCTTTGGGTTCCTTCATTCACACGTCACGGTTTAATTCCTGTCATAATCTATGCGTATGTATAAGGTCATTGCCCTAATATTGACTGAAAAAGTTTAATCTTCCAATTCACTCTCAAGATATCTTGTGGTGGTGTGTGGACCTGGTCACAATTCAGTTGAAGTTTAGCAAGGTTGACCTCGGAGATTCATTGGATGGGTGACCGTGTTTGGCAGCTTGACTCCTGAAAGTTTCTAGGACTTCAGTCATGCCCCACAACGAAGCACATTTTATATATGTGGTATTTCCAGGAACACAATGGCCGATCTTGCTGCCAAGGCAGCACTCAACCAATCTGTGACACCACTTCTTATTCCTTACTTTGATAATAAAGCTAGCATTGGAACTTACACCCGTGATCTCCTGCAGAAGAAGTGGGACACCCAAGTAGGTATCAATAAATTACATGAAATAATACCATATATTGGTTACACCTACTTGGATTGTCAGTCCAGATTTGAGGAGGTCATACGCGTTATATCCCGGTGGAGACACCAAAATTTGTGACCTGGGTCTCATGCTGTGTTGTGTCCTTGGGCAAGGCACTTCGTCCACATTGCACTCAGTCCACCCAGCTGTTCAAATGAGTACCTGAGAAGCGGATGTACGGACCTATACGGTCGCGCGAAGCGCTTAGTAGCAGCTTTGAAAGTACAATTCCGTCAGGGTAATAATGTAACGCCAGAGAGCAGCATCGTGTTGGATTCTAGGCGCAAAAATTAGCATTATTATTATTATTACTCACAAATACCTGTTAAAAGGTGAAGATCCTCCGTTTTGTATCTCTTGTGATGAGAGAACCACAGTCAAGCATGTCCTGCTTGACTGTGTTGAATTTTCCATCACAAGGGATAAATATTTCAAAGTCAAAACTGTTAAGGATCTTTTGAATAATGTCAATTATCATTGAAATATGATTCATATGTTTTGAACATACATGCAGTTTTAGTATTGTTGAGTCCTCCTGAGAGAGTATGTAAGTCCCAAAGCATTCTAGGTAGATTTAAACCTACTGTTATTTTTAATTGTAGCATATATGCTCATTTAATTTACGGATAGATTGTCAAAACTTGCTGACAGCTGAAGGGATGATGTAAATCCAACTAGGGTCCATGCAGGTAGCAAAATTAATGTAAGTCCCCATGGTCCCTGGTTTGGTGAGTTACCTTCAGTTGTTGGCGATCTATAGCCCATTTTTATACTGTGTTGTCCTAATTTGAAATCCAATTTTAGAGAGAGTTGCTAGTTTTATTCCTTGATACTGTGATATTCTAGATGATTTTACTGTCCTTCGTCGGCAGGTTTTTATAATTTATATGTATTTATGATGAATTCACAACTTGTTTATAGTCACGATATGGCTGAAATATTGCCGATGTAACTTAAAATCTTAAATCATTCACTCACTGATATATGTGGTCTCAACTTAGGTGATTTTGTTCAAAATTGCCCCTGTTCACCCAGCAGATAATGGTACACGCTGAAATATGTCATGTGACTTTTAACCTTCTAGCGCCTCAGGGGCAGCTTGGGTTATCCGGGGTAATAATAATCAATTTCTGATTGCAGCGTCCAGTGGGCAACTAGTCAGATGGATACTAGGCGTTATATAAATGAATTATTATCATATTATTATCTATTATACAAAATAGTCCGAATTTCATGTTCACAAGTTACCTATTTCCCTAAAATCGACAATGGAAAGATTAGGTGACTCAAATGTGCATGTACAATCTCTTTGATGCAAAATACAATGTACACCTGAAGTATGCAAACACATCTACACGCATTAATATCATCAGTCTATTTTCCCATTGTCTTAAGTGCAAGTGATGTTCATAGGAGTAATATTTTCAGCAGTGTCCTATCATGATTTCTTCCTTCTTTAATCATCTGTATCTGGCTTCTTCAGGTTGAGGATGACAGGTGTCGTCGATCCCGAAATGTCACTGTACAAAAACTCGAAACATCTCCCACCAACTATGACGTCACCGACCTTTTGTCGTACACTAACTACACCTTCACCGTGGCTGCTGTCAATAACTTCAGCATGGGGATTAACACGTCTCTAGCAGTACAGACAGACATTGGTGGTAAATACGTTTGAATCAGTTCAACTCATATTGGAAATGAGATGAAACCTATTGCTATTTTAAATGGGATTCGTTTAATATTTCCAGGAACGATTTTGTAAAGAAAATGCAGAATATATTGTATCCACTGATATGCTACATGTGTGATAACTAGAATAGGTGACGTCATATCTGTTTGGATTATATTAATGATTCTTTTCAACGTACTAGTTCCATTGGTGCCTGGAAATCTCTCCGCATCTGTGGTAAATGCATCGTCGGTGGAAGTTACCTGGACTCCCCCAACTCACAAGTCTGGACCGACGAACTACACCATTATCCCACAACAGGCTACCGGAAGACTTTCTTCAACGTTCGAGAACATAAGAAATGTTACTGTGAACGGTAGGTGTATAGTTAAGGCGCATCAGCCTAACACATTTCCACAATGTCTATGATCACATGATATAAATATTGTTTTATGATAACCATCTATCCTCCCGAGGCACATTTCCCCAAACATTTATGATACATTTGCTTGATTTGAAATTTTCTTCCGTCTGGTTGGAACCCGAGCGCAAAAAGGTGATAACCCGAGCGCAAAAAGGTGATATATATAATGTTGTTCAGATTTCTTTTTCACAGTTACTTTTGTCGGTGCACGATGAAAGTAAAGGGATTTGTTCACATTTTCGGAAAATATCTAGGACTGTCTGTTCTACAAACCAGCTAATTAATACTTGCTGTTGATTTTACACTCTAAGAAAGCAAAATTTAATAGTGTACGTCCTTGCGCATATATGCTGAGTCAAAAAAGAAACTTCACAAAATGTAATTTGAAAAATAATGAATAATTTTTCTCTGATGATACATCTATGTATCCGAAATGGGATCCCTATCTTTCGACTCTAGAAAAACGTTAGCAAAACCCACTCAAACCCATCCATTCGTCGTGCAAATGACTTTAGTGCCAAATCAGGTTTTGCACGTGCAGTCGATCACGTGATCTTCGTATCGAAATTTTCTTCATATGCACGTGTTTGCATTGGCCTCAAGAATTGAAAAAACACTTTTAAACCACAGTTCTAACGGTACTTGAAATGCCACGATTGTCAAATGTGCAGCGTGAACGTGCCGTTGGCATGTTGCAAGCGGGAAGATCAGTTATTGACGTCGCAAGAGCAATGGGATGCAGCCGTCGTACTGTGTATGACTTGCGAGGTCGTCTACAACAAACTGGCACCACTTCTGATCGCCCAAGGTGTGGTCGTCCACGTGTGACGTCACGAGCAGAAGACCGTCAAATCGTCCTACGTCACCTACGTGATAGATTTCTGCCGGCTGCACGAACCAGGGCTGAGATGTTTAGAGGTCGACTGTCCTCACAGACCATTCGAAATCGGTTGCGGGCTGCCAATCTCCATTCTCGACGTCCATATCGTTGGCCAATATTGACGCCGTTTCATCAACGTCACCGTCTGCTGTGGGCCCAACGTCACCTCCGATGGACCCAGAGAGACTGGAATCGAGTCGTCTTTAGCGATGAATCCAGGTTTACCCTCAGATTCGCGGACGGCAGGCATAGAGTCTGGAGACGACGTCGTGAACGGTATGCCCAATGTTGTGTACAGGAAGTCGACAGATTCGGGGGCGGAAGTTGTATGGTGTGGGGTGCTTTCTGTGGGAACAACCGTTCCCGACTTCTGGTCATCCGTGGAAACCTCACAGCTGCTGATTACCGCGACCAGGTGCTCACCCCTGAACTCGTTCCTTTCATGGCGGCTCATGACCCAGGTCTACAGTTCCAGCATGATAATGCTCGGCCGCATACCGCGATGTTGACACGAAATTTCCTTCAAAACGCTGGAATCAAGGTCATGGACTGGCCATCGAGGTCCCCTGACCTTAATCCAATAGAGCACGTTTGGGATGCACTTGGGAGAAGGTTTCGTGGTCTTAGGAACCAACCTCAGAATTTGCAGGAACTTGGCGCTGCCTTGCAAGAGCAATGGCGCAGAATCCCCAACCACGTGTTCACAAGCATCAGGCAGTCGATGAGGAGACGGTGTTTGGCAGTGGTGAATGCGCGGGGCGGCCATACAAGATATTGAACTGAGAAATTTCGCATTTTTATTCTTGTGACTTGACATTCTGTATACCCATGTTTTGGAACGGCGGTGTAGCCTAATGGAACTGATTATGGCACTGTCATTGTATCGAGTACATCACACAGATCTCAGCAATGAAATAATAACAATTTAACCATCTTACAATCTCTTGTTCTTTTATAGTGCCCTGAAGAAAGAATGTGAAGTTTCTTTTTTGACTCAGTATATGATATGCGGTAGATCCAGTACCGCCCATGTGCACTTATCGTATAACTTTCACTTTTCAGAGTTTATGAAAATGTGTTTCAGAAAAGCATCTTGGCATCCAAAGAGTCTAAAATGCATGTTAATGCCATTCACGCTTTTTCATAATGTGCGAGCTAATGGTGCTTGCTTCATGTAAACACGTATAATTAATTTGATAGTTTACCGTAACTACCTCATTATCACTTGACGTCATGTCACTGACAATGCAATCAGAGCTTGTTATATTATAACGACGCATGGCACACTGAAAAGAACATCATCCTGTTTCCAGTTGGAATCGTGTTTACAGTTCTTGGTAAGAATTACGGTAAAGAGGTATTTGTAGTGAAACAAAAATTTCGTTTATTTGGGAACTAATTATCGTGGGTGGCAGTGGTAGCTTGTATTTGACAAAAGCGACAAAACACTTTGCACATCCATAAGAAAGTGCCTGCCGGAATTGTACGATTCCGACAATAATATGAATATGTCTTTCATGTTGAGCAAAATTCCAATAGCTCAAACCTTTCTTGTTCACTTTTTGACAACCAAGGCATAACCAATCTTGCTCTTTTCACAAAGATTTGAGAGCATTATACGACCTTGCTCAGTTGTTGCATTACGGTTTCAATACCCATGGCCTAGTAAAGCTTTCAAAAGGTTTAATGGTGATTACATGGAGGAAATTTCAAAATCTGATGTATAGTAACAAAATGATTTTCGATGCAATTTCCTATTTAGGCGTGTACAACGAACTTGTTCAGGAGAACAACTGACTATCCTCACATATGTTTATGACGGATGCCACCGGTGGGACAGAATACACTCATCATTATTATTGATTGTGATTCACTTGGACCAGGTATTATTTGGTTGTGATTCATAAACCTATGTTTACGAAATACTCGGAAAAGTACAGTGGATTTCGTGTTTAGCAAACATTTTAAATGAAGGTCGAAAGGGTTTTGACCCTATTTAGGAGTCACTATTACATAGTGATGATATCAGGTGTTCGCGAATAGGTGTGCCTGCCCCATCAGTGACAATCGTCATAAATTTAGCTCGTCATGCTGATGACGTTTCAATTAGTCTCTATAAAGGTACAGGGAGTAGAACCCATCTTGGTGTCCACAGCAGTGGTAAATATGCTTAAAGGAGTATAATCCAAAGAACTCATGATTGTACGTCACTTTTAGTAATGCAAAATAGTAATGAGACACATTCTTCTTAAACCAATCTGAAATCAACCTATGCGAATGTTCTGTCCGTCAGGTTACAAATCATCTAAAACAACCATTAACAGTCTATTGAGCTCATGGAGGTACACGTTCAGCATCGTAGCCAGTACATCTAAAAGAGGTTCCCTTCCCGTAGACTTAGGAAGCAACATCATAACCCAGGAATCTCGTAAGTATTGGTTTGCTATTGTAATGCAGTATCATCATCTCATTAGCTATAGGACATAGCCGGAATGTGTTTTTGTCAATGTCTTGTAAATATGTGTCCAGGTAGTCCTTGATGTATCCCTGAAGTTCTTTAATTTTTGTTCATAATAAAAATTTATGATTACATAATATGTTTCAGAACCTTGTGAAGTACAGAATTTGAAAGTCTCATCGATTCCTGGCAATTTCACTGCTGTTCATCTGGCCTGGGACTGCCCAAAAGAAAGAGAAAGGAACGGCTTTATCAGGAATTACACGATACAGTATTCGGATTTGGTATGATACCACAGTGTTCACCAAAATTCAAACAACGACACACACTTCTATCTCCTGAGTCTTGTAAAAGACTTTGATCAGATATATCAGGACTCAAATGATATTGACTGCATGTTATTTAGTAAGGTCTTATACCAAGCAGGACATGAAAAGTATATATTGTTTGAATATTGATATTGTCAGATTGATGTGCTAGAATCTGAGCATAAATTATCTATATGAATCATTGGGATCTTTTAAATATCAAGATAAACAGTAACCAAAAGAATGAAATTGTATATATAATAGACAAGGATTTATAGCCTGAAAGTAATGATAATTCTGGACTGATGTACATGAACAATGTAGTTATTAGTATAATATGATGAACTGTGTCTTGATAAGGCAAGGCATTTTTATATGACACATGCACGTTTTGCTCCTCCAACTACGACGTCAGGCAAAATGATATCACTTTTAAAAAAGAACAAGACGAACAACTTAACTATAGGCCTTGCGTTAATCTACCTACATATTTACTAAACGTTTCTAAAGACTTTTTTTTGTAAATGTGAGAGGGTAGCTATTAAGCGCATGTGTTATTTATGCAAGATATAAAGATAACTCGCATTCCTCTCAAATATAACAAACATCACAGGCTTAGCATATGAAAACATATCGTTTACACAGAATATGCGTATGGGACACAATCCATAAAAAATATAACATTTACATCCTTGGTAATCTTGTTTGTTTTTTCTGTTTGCCTAACCTCCGTGTTCTTCTTTCCCTCCATTATCCACAAATAGTCCCAAGAATATTGGTTGTCCTTGTGAAATGGAGAAAACCTGTTAAGTTTTATGTCGCCTTCAATAGTTTATTACTGTTATTCATCACAGGCCCTCTTGTCTTTGAGAGAATTAAAGATCTTAAAAACATATACAAAGTTTGACATGACCCCGACTCGAAATGCTCCACATTACAATACATCACGATGTATTGTACTGTAAATCATTTCATCTAAAAATATGTTTTTTAATCTTTAATCCTCGCAAAGACACGAGGGCCTGAGTTACTCATGTGTTGAAAATTACATTGGTTTTACATCAACAAAGCTGTAACACTAACCTAAATCTGAAGAAAAACTCACAACGTTTATTTCCAGGGAGAAGTAGATAAGGTTTATGGCCATTATAAACCTGAGGATCCATGTGACAAGACACATATCGCCATCTTACCAGTACGACCAGAACACGACTACACATTCACTGTAAGTATTATGTAAAAGTTCCGTGTGATCTAGCCATTGTTCGATGAAAGGTTCCGTCCCATGTTAAGGGATCAACACCATGTTGTAAGTAGTACGCATTAAATGGATATATCTCGGGTCATCATTATTTCCGCTTGGTAGAAAGAGTTTCAGTGGGGTGGGACAAGGTCTACATCACTGACATAAAACAAAAGGTCTGGCATGCTAGCTTTTTCTGCGAAAATATTTTTGACAGTACAAATAATATCCATCCTTGATAAGACTACTGATCATCCATGAACTATTTCGTTTATGTTCAAGCCTCAATTCCAGGTTGGTGGGAGCATAATCGTAATTCAGGAAGAGTAGTTCTAAATTCAGCAGTTGAGATGTGACAACTTAATTCTAATCACCATATTCATATTCACTTATAGCTTTTAGAGATCTTTCTGTAGCATCGCCATGATAGTGCAAGGGCTTGTGTAATTCTGGGAATAACATGTTAATTGTTGGAACCAATACTAATTTGTAATCACTATTCTGTACGGATTTGGAAAAGAACATGGTTCCATTTTTTTCTATTTGCTATAAGTGTCCTTGTGGGGTGATTGAATATAAGTTCCCCAAATTGCTTGCGGCACAATTTCGAGACAAAATATTTGCATAAACTTATCTCAACATAGTCATGTAGACCATCAAAATGTAGCTTATGATGCATAATATAGAAATAACCATATAATATGCTTCTAATTTCAATTCGGTGACATAAGATATGGCATAATCATATAAATTAATCAAGTATTATCTTTCCTTCATCGCACATCAACATTGTAATTATTGACCTATATCAGTGGAAACCATTTATTCAATTAATGTATTCTCCCATTTCATAATATATACTAGCATGACACACTTAAGTAGTGATAATAGTACCCAGGTAAGGTTAATGTGATTATCATATAGTCAAGCACAAGTGTCAAATCAGGCATATCGGTGCAGTCAAAACTGACACACTGACACTTGTGTCCGGGTAATTAAATGACAAATGACATAAAGCCAAATCTGCAGTCTGAATGTATTAATACAGGAGTGACAAACTATCTCATAGTGAACAGATAACTACATATACTTCCTTTCAAAAGTTTAGACTCACTAGTGTAAATATAGCCACGTACTTCAGGCAACTGTTCTAAACTAAATTTTGCAAATATTCTATATACTGTTTAAAAGGACTGTTTACACATGAACTGATGTATTGAAAAACAAATTCGTAATGTTGAAAAGATTAATGTCATGAGTTTAATTAAATGATACAAATCAGTGAAAATTGGCGAATTCTAAACAGAACTTGACACCAAGACGCAGCTGTTCACATGCATGAAATTTGCAGATGGTTTTAAGCAATTTGATGCATGATGCTCGTGTAATTCATCTGCATCAGGTTTGCAGTTGGTTCCTACAAGTTAGTGGAGAAATTAATCTTCCATGTAACCATATATAATACAAACACACACACACACACACACACACACACACACACACACACATAACATAAAGGGAGTGTTTTAAGTGAGTCTAAATTTTTGAAAGGAAGTATATTACAAGTGGGGTATGCAAGTGCAATATAAAATCTGTACTAGTATATCTATTTTAACTTTCACAAGGATTTAGCTAGCATTGCTAAGTAACTGGCATTGTCAATCAAACCGTCATTATCCTGCAAGAACCTGTTGAAATACACGCTTCAAAGTTATTTGACATACAAACACAAGCATGAATTCTACACTTATTTATTCTGATTTGGAAACTAGAAGGGTCCTCGTCTGAGAACATACCTCCACCTTGCACAGCAATTTCCATTCACTATTACATTTTTAAAGTACTATTGCGTACTTGTACTTTAATGTACTTTCCCCAAACCATATGCAGATAGCCCTTGTGTCATACCACCAAGATTCATCCAAAATCGATCCATCAATCTTTAGATATTACTCATATTCCCCATTTACTTAACATTGCAATTATTTTCAAAATACCTCTGTGCACTTGTACTTTAACATACACTCTTCCAAAAAAAAATCCAAAAAAAATCAAACGCAAAATATAATTTGGAAAAGAATGATCGAAAGTTTGCGCGCATATGTCAAATAAGCATGATTTCGGGGTTGTATATTGTTGTTGGTATGGTTTAGAAGGCGTGAATGAGCAAATACAACCATTAACGATTTTGCATAGCTTTATCGATCATGATTGTCACGATGGGCTTAACTGTTATGGAACACAACCAAAAGCCGCAATTATTGCTTTTCACGTGCAAAGCATGATTACAACCTTTGACTATAAAATTCATCTCGCAAATTCATCAAAGACCCTTGCAAAGTACTGGATGAGAAAATGGTGCCGACCGGAATATTGCCATTGGACGATTACAAGCTGGCGAATGAAAGAGTGTCGTGACGAGGACCTTCAGCATTCATCCGAGCACAGTAACTCGTTTGTGGGATCGTTTTGTGCATTCCAGATCGACAAATGACCATCCAAGACCAGGAAGATCGCGAGTCACCATACAAGCTCAAGATCGCTAAATCCGGGTAACCCACCTATGTGACTAGCATCGTTCCGCTCGGGACACAGCACAAGAATGGAGAATGTCTGACCAGACAATCAGGAATCATCTCCGAGAGGCAGGTATATTGTATGCGTGCCAGACGTCCAAAAGTTGCCCCCTTTCTGACACGATTACATCAACGTCTGCGAGTCAAACGATGCAACCATACAGCCTTGGAAACTGGAGGCACATATGGTTCAGTGATGAATCACGGTATCCCCTCAAGGCACGTTACCCAAGACAACGTGTCTACAGACCAAGCAAGGAATGTTTTGCACCCTACTGCATTAGGCAAGTGGACTGATTTAGTGGGGATGGTGTCATGGTGTGGAGGGCCATCCCATACACCTGCAGAAGGGAATTAGTGTTCAACCAGATTCTCCGTCCTCACGTGACTCACCTTGTGGGAGCTGTACCATCAGGACAGTGCCAGATCTCACACAGCACGTGCTACAGTGGACTACCTGGCCAATAACAACATCAGTGTCCATCCCTGGCCCTCCATATTCCCGGATTGGAAACCAATTGATTATCTGTGGGATCAGATTGATAAACGTGTACATCAACGTCGTAATCCGCCATTGACCCTGTAACAGTTGTTCAGCATGCTGCAGGAGGAATGGAAAAGGATTCCACAACGAAACATCCAACAACTGATTCGATCTGTGTCAAGGAGGTGTGCAGTTCTTGCAGTAAGAGGGGGTCATACAAGGTAGTAACGTCAATGCCACCTCGTGGACAGCAGTAATGACTATGATGACTGTCATTCTTGTGAAATGTGCACGAGATACCAGTGTATTGCTCTACATAATTTCAATGCTGTACCGTTTATTCTCGTTGATATAAACTGAAATAATAACTGAATAAGACCAAATTTAACAATGACATGATGCTTTTGCGTTTCGTTTTTGAAGAGTATAATTTCTTCAACATCTAATTGATTTGCCCTGGGGGTATACCTAAGAGCTCCATTCAGTTTCACTGAAATCCATCAAGTAGTCAAGGTTGAATACATCCCCTCTGCAACAAACCTTCGGTTTTGGCAGAGGCAGTTATGATCATAGTAATTATTATGCATACATATATTTTTGAGATTCATGATAGGTGTTGGAAGTTGTAAAAACATCCATCACAAAGTACATTTTGATATACTACATGCCTATGTTGTGATAGGTTAATAAAAATATGTTTTTCTCACATTGGTGTTGCAGCTCGATTATAGGTACCAATATTCAATTACCCCAGAATGACACTTATAATCATCAGAAAGAATGGAACCATGTATTTTTCTGAATCCATATGCAATACTGATTACAGTTATCAGTGGTTCTAAAAATGAACATGCACTTCCCACGGAAATCATATTTGCTACATAATCCCCTGCACTATGACTGCAGTCCACCAAATCATGACCGCATACTGGTATCTCCACATAAACCTACTCGTAGATCAACAACTGCAAACAGATTGACTGTTTTCGTCGACGTTTATATCAAGAGGTAAAAAAGATTTTGTTTAAAAGAATTAAACGTCTTGTGACTGCATGGTATGCCCAGTGCCTCTCGTAGTAGAAAATGGGATTCACAGGCAATACGTGTTCATATGTTCATCTTCAAGGAGCTTGTTTGATTAATATCTTTTATGTGTTTGATGCAGTGAGTAAGTTTGGAGTAGTGTTAGTTTGGATAGGCTCTAAGTTTACTAGGCTTTCTGGTACTGGTCAGGAGCAGTTATCACACATTGTCATCAATAACGTAAAACTAAATCCTGTGGACATACAAGTATGCTGCCCCCATTTGACATTTGCACGCATACAACGTCATTGTAATTAAACTTAGTATTTGGAACTTAGATTTTTTAAGCCATTTTGTTCTATTTCCGGAATACCATATCATGCAATTTAGCATTTCGTTTACAAAGTAAAATTCTCTTTTTTAAAAAAAAAAAAAGGTTTCCGCTATTGCGATGTACAGGGGCAAGCCGAAACAATCAAATGTGTTCCATGCCACTGCTGGAAGTAAGTACTTATAATTAAAACATTTAGTAATGTTATAGAGTTCCTTGCACAAAAAACTATTACAGTCTGAAAACGAAATGACGGAACATATAACAGGATGCACCGTACATGAAGCAATACCTTATGTGTTAATATAACAGAAATATAAGACTATATAATGTGAAAAAATGTAATAATATATTATGGGTCATTTTCAATGCCCATCATATTATTATTTTTTAGCTTTTTCGTTCACAGAACCCCTGAAAAAAGATTCAACGGAAATATTCATCAGCAGAGCAGCACAAAACACAGGCGCTGCCACCGATACGTCCATTGTTATATCTTTTGATTCAAAGACGCTGCTCGACGGTACAAATGGGAAAGTAGTTGAAGCAGGAATTCTTGTTATGAAGAAGAGTGGTATGCAAACAGATCTGTTTGACTTATGTCCTAGAGTGATTCTTGTGTATAAGCTGATCCACTTCTATATTCTGACATCCAGTTTGAAATAGCATAACCTCAGTATAGGATGTGTGTACGTGGTTGTGTTGTGCCTGAGCGTGCGTATTTCTGAATCCACGTTTAGAAAGACAAGAATAGGTATTGGCGCGGTGTTGCATTAATGACATAAAGAACGGTGGATTCTTTCTACCCTTTTCGCCAACACCTGATGTCGTCAGTGATTTTCAGTCATCCATTCACATCATTTTCACATCTATATTTACATCTATATTTGCCTTTACACCAAATAGTATTTGTTTCTGAGGCTACATAAGACTGGGTGTTGTTTCGCACTGACGTTATATATTTCCTTAAATTGTCACAAGATAATAGAAATAGAGATACATATAATTTGATGTTTTTCTGGTATATATTTATTTTGTTCTCTTTTGCAATTTCTGGTGTCCCCCGCCGTAATATTGCTGGAATATTGCTAAAAGCAGCGTAAAACCATACTCACTCACTCTCTCTATTTTGCAGGAAGGTGTAGTATTATGAATTCATGCATGCCTATAGTTAAACTACGCGCGTTTACATATCGTCCAAACTGAAACTCCTTATGTGCATATAGAAACACCACCAACGGACCCTGAACATGTGACTGACTGGGACACATGGAAGAACTGGTATTTGTGGAAGAACAGTGGGTATAAGGGTTCTTACCGCCCAACTCCACAACACTACCTGATGGCAGCTAGGATAAGGAGGAGTGCTTCTCCAGGTAACATTAACTTACAAGATATCATCCCTCAGGGATATTTACAAATGATGAGTATGAAAATTGAAGTAGCAGTAACATACTAAGCGCGTCGATTTCTTACTTCAGGGGAGAGTCTTACTTCTTACTCGGTTGGTGTGGATGAAAACTGCGACAGTGAAAAAGACCAGTTCTGTAATGGGCCCCTGGAACCAGACACTGCATATATGTAAGCTTCGTTTCTTTCTTCTCATGATGCCAAACAAGCGACATGACCAGCCGTGTGTTCTGAGCATTGTGTTTAAAGCTTACTGACGTATGCAGAATCCAATTCCAGATGGATTGAGAACTGCTCAAGGGTTCTTCTATTTTTGCAGTAATATTATTACAATGCTACTAAAAATGCCTTTCACACAATGTACCTAGGGAATGGAAACCGAGTGTTCGGTGTGATAACCATACGCTTGGTCTCTTTATCATACATTGTTTTATCACACGTTGTATTAAAATGAAGGTTCTTTGTTATTATCATCCTTTGAAAATTATGAAAGCACCATGCTCCCGGCCAGGAAAACAAGGAATCAACAAATCTGTATATTTTTTACCTTATTTCTTAAAACAATATGTGACAAACTGTCATAGGAATGTGGAATATCGTATAGAGCGTCTGCCAAGAGAATTCTTCGGAATTTTGATCGCGTAGAAAGAGCATTCTCGATTGTACCCTAATAGGTCTGAAATGTACACACCAAAGACTGGCGCTGTTGACATTGCTCGACATGAAGGGAAAACTGACGATTGTAAAGTAGAAGGCCTTCCTGTCGTCGCTCTGTCAGTTTCCCCTCACTCTGTATAGATCTCTTTATGAAACGCTGGCTCACTGTAGACCTTGATTACTACTTTTAAAAGGATGAATTAATGGAAACGAACTGGTTATTTGACCACTATTGTTCGATATTAGCTCACCCGTCTGACTCAGACGTCTTCGCCAGATAGACCTGTTTTGACTTTGACAATCCAATATTCGACAATTTGCATTTCAGGGTTGTTGCTGTGTCGTGTACCAGTGCTGGATGCACATCCACTGAGCCTTTCGGTAACTTCAAGACAAAACGTATGTTGAAATTCACATGAAGTACTATTAGTGTTACATATATACTGAAATCCATTAGAAACTCATCACCGGAATACAACTTTTATCTCCCTGATAAATGAAGAAAAGAGCTTCTCCCTTCTAACACTAAAGTTGTCAACGCAAGGAAAAGCAGTCATTCGTGATTTAGTGCAGCCATAAATTGACGATAACAATGACAGTGGTCCATTTGAAATTTCACACGCGTTCAAAACTTTCACATAGTCAATGTCAGTAGCGGGTATGCCCACTATTTGCGTCGAGCTTCGTCTCATCAATAATTTTACCCTCCTCCTGAAAACTTGTCGTATCTGACGCCATATTCTTTGCAAAGCGAGTTCAACTCATAGACGTTATTAGGTTGAGTTCTTTTCCCTATTTCGTCCCACACATCAGTGCTAGTTTCGGACGCGGCCACGGCATGACAGGAATGTTTCTATATGTTTTTTCCACGCGCTCTGTAGGTAAAATAGTGATTTTCAGCAAATAGTAGTCACGTGATTACACAGGGATACACGTGGTTCTCTGTGTGCATCACGTTTATCTGACACATTCAGATTACTTCAAGCACAGTTTGGGTTCAAAATTTTGGTTTGGCATATTCCGTGATCAATAATACCGCGATTAATTTCTAATGGATTTCAGTATATATTTACAATACACTGAGATAAATGAAGATTATATGAATATTAATATATACTAGCCACAAAAAGAGACGTGCATTGTTATAACAACAATGAAAGTTTCCATGCGAACTTTAATTTATTGGTGATATTTAAATCTTAGATGAAGGCATAAAAACTGCTTAATGTTACTAACACTGACGTTAGGATTCCGAATTCAGTTGTTGAAGAAAATCCTAGCCGTGTGAGGATGGACATCATTATGCTGGAATTTCAATTCTGGTCCATGACGTTCCTGAAACGGAATTTCCTCTGGTCCGAGAATCTGATTTCTGTAGCCCACATCTGTGAAATTACCATGACGTTAAGAGGCCCAAAGCAATTCCTCTCCATGACACAGTAATGGTGCTAAAAATGGGTAACCCATATCTGTCCTATCTTGGCATTGTGCTGCGTGGACGTCCTGCGATCGGCAGCTTCATTGTTGTTCTGATGACGTATCAACAGTGCTGACATGGTGTTTCGGTGGCAGTGGAACCGGACGTTGATATATTCCTCCTCGGACCATCCCAATAACCTTATGGCGTTTGTCGTTTGACTGTTTCAAAGAACAAACGTCAAACACTTAGGCTTCCCAAATGGTTTTTGACATTCATGTGCTCCACACATTGTGTTGAAATGTACATGACAAACATGGCCATCCACATTCAGGTGACTACTCACTGTGTTTACATTTGAAGTTGTGTACACAGGTAGTTATATAGTTTCCTTTTGTGGATAGTTTTTATGTGTGCATAATCAAATCGACAAATAAAACGTTTGCAGTTTAAATGAACGAGTAAAAATCATATTATAATAATTTGATTGCGAAAATGAACAGTTTGAGGCATCTCTGTCGAAGTTATAGTTTCCTTTTGTGGATAATCTCCATGTGTGCATAATCACATACATTTGTGTTTTTCTGAAATCGACAAGGAAAACTTTTGCAGTTTAAATGAACGAGTAAAAATCATATTGTAATAATTTGATGTCGAAAATGAACAGTTTGAGCCATCTCACCGTATTTTAGACAGTGCTTTTACGAACATAATACTAAGCATTAATTCGGAGCACCCACATTGACTTGCATTCTGTTGCGAATTAGTTAGATTTATCTCGCATGAAAACCATACAATCCATGGAGCATAAGATTTAAATGTATAATTAAGTGATTTTACATAACTGAACTTTCATTACTTCCTGTGAATATAAAGAATATTAAACTTATTTTGTTGTAGTCGGGATGAAAATTGACTTGGCATTGCATGTGTCCGATGGCACCTATGTGACGGGATACGCTCACCGTTTAGATAACACCTGGTGTCATCCATGTTTGTTAATGTTTCAAACATGACGTATAATGGGAATCACATGCTGTATTAACTATTATAAGCAGATCAATCTTATGATTCTGGAAATGCCACGGTCATTCCTTTATGAAATGATGTAGTGGAACATTTGCTTGACCAAACAATATGTTACTCTTTGTATTACTCTGGTGTTAATGATTGAAGTGAAATCAACATCGCAGTAACAGCATGTTACTGACGTATATGTTGATATCACATCAGTATTTGAAAGAAATACTTATTGCAACAACAATCTTTAATTGACCAAAAAATTGATTGCAGTTTACGCTTCTACATTTCTTATAGCACTTGATGATGTCACACCATGGATAATCGCCTTTGGGGTGATCACAGCTCTTCTGCTTTGTGTCATCATTATCCTTGTTATATATTTGTGAGTACCATGCCTTGTTTGGAACAACAGTTCTCAATACACGCTCCCCGTTCAAAGTCGCTTCTTAAGAGATGAAATAGCAAACAGTAAACAGCAAACATCAATCGATGTCATGTAGTAGCACTTAAAATATTTAAAATTCCATGAACAGAAAATGCATGAACAAAATTCGGAATTTAGTTTAAGCAAATATTAGTCAGCTTTGTGAAACTGACGCTGCCTTTTGTCCTTCACGTCCCTGGTATGGTGATCTGCCTTCCGTTGTTGGCAATCTATAGCCTGTTTTTACATTGTCTTGTATTCTATAGTTAAACGTTTTCAGTTTTTCATAGTTTTTTTTATATCTTTATCTGTGATCCTCTAGTTATTTTACCGTCCTTTTATAATTTGACTTTATTTATTACGACTTATATATTATGCAAATCCTCATCACGATATGGCTTCAATATTGCCGATGTAACGTTAAATTTTAACTCACTCACTCACTCACTCACTCACTGTCCTTCACATATATGTATCTGACATTGCAGCAAGGTTGTTCAGCCAGTAAAGACACAGAGATCACGGGGAAAAGGCCCTGCATTAGAGTTGTCCTTGAGAGGTACAGGACAGAGTGAGGACATCCCCTTCGAAGTAGCATGTGGATCTACTAGTGATTACCAGGATACACATGCGAATAGATACTATGAGAATGTAGATAGCAGAAATCAACACACGTATGAATCGTTGGCCAGTCAAGTAAATGACCACGACATGCATTTGTACGAAACTGTGCAGGTGCGCTTGTGAGTATGAGTGAGTATGACTTTACTCCACTTTTAGCAATCTTCCAGCAATATCACAGCGGAGGACACCAGAAATGAGCTTCACACATGTCTCCATGTGGGGAATTGAACCCGGGTCTGCAGCGTGACGAGCGGACGCTATAACCATTAGGCTACCCCTAAGCACCTTGTGAATATGAAATTACCACGCACATTCAATGTATACTCTCTTCAATATCAATGCTGTACCAATACGATTGTAATATACATCATCGTGCTGTATGTAATTTAATCGCATGTATTCCCCATTTATTTGTAAAGTTGTATTTGTTCCACCCTGGAAGTGAAACGAATCCAGTGAACCAGATCAGCTTACTCTAGAAACAGCCAAAAGAGCTCTACAAAATACATACAAAACTTCTCATTCTCAAAGGTTTCACATTGTGTGCGCTTGGCGACAACATTACCTGAATTTGTTTATATTTTTAATATGCTTCATGTGTATTGGCGACCGTTTCCTGGTTCTTGAGTGCAACTGTCACAAATACATGCAAGTGCGACTCAATCGTTCACTTGAATGAGTACGATACAGGAACTAATAATACAGATCAGAATAGGGAAGAGCACCAGATGTCATTTTCGTTGTCACTGTTGCACCAATTCTCGAAATATTCTACTCGTGTCCACCTTAAAGCTACGTGGAAGGTTAATGAGGTCTTAACGCTGTAAATCTGATCAGACTACTTTAAACAAACCGAACGACTTCTTTAACTGGTAGAAAGTGCCACTGATCAGGCTGGATAACACTAAGCCCTATGCGAACACTTGGCATCATGAATATTTGGATAGTGATTTAACTGCTATGACGTGCAATGTACCAACTCTTCTTTATGTATGGAGGTATGCCAATAAAGCGGATCCCAACGACCGTAAATGCATTAGAAAATTTGAAGAACACGGAAGTTCGTTACAATAGTGGTATACATATCTTACTCATACATCATCTCAGATTCAAACCCTTGGTTTATATCTGGCATATGAACAATGCATCCTGAGGGTTTCTTTTCCCTCCTAAACAATCACACACAAGTAGAACATGCATAGTATAAGTGAGTGGATGCAATTTAATATAGCACGAATTCCTCTTTGTTCACAATGACGTGTAAATCATTCCCCACAATGAGTCTATTCCCCACCAACCAAAGGTTGATATCACGAAATAACGTAATGGATACACAGAAACACAATAAACCAAGTCAACAACCGATTCATATATTTTGCCTTTAGCATGATAAAGTGCCTGTTTAACCAGAAATCAATGGATTAATGCACACCATTATAAACTGGGGAAATAAAATCTCTTTTTGACCAAAAGATGAATAAACATTCAACGCTCATGCATGCATCTTCAGTCAGCGTATATGGTGCTGCATGAGGTATAGTGCACAATAATAAGGTAACTGATAACTGTTACCCGTGCGCTATTATACCGAGAGTATAAATCGCTCTGCCTCCCAGATGAGGACCACAATGGTAACTATTGCATCTTGCACCAACAAATTGTCAGGATTTGCATTATTACAAAGGACATTCTATGCCATTCTATGAAATAAGGTTGACTATTGTAACGTATGTGTCTGGCTGCACACAGTCGTCTTGCCTGAAGGCAGAGATAACATGCGGAAGTTTGATATCAACTCACACATTGTCCTTTGATTACCCCATAATGCGGAGCACCAGGTGGGGTACCAATACATATCACGAAGTAACGTCTTTGGTATGGCGCTGGTCAGGACATCGAACAACAGACCTTCGGCTCTTCAGGAAGACACGCTATCCACTTGAATATATAATTAATATGATTAGATAAATTCTGTTTCATCTGCATTTCTAACATGACAAACATAACATGATCAGCTGAATACAGTTTCACCTCTATTCCTAACGAAGCACATATAACATGAATAGCAGAATGCTGTTTCATTTTATTCCTAGCCAGACACATATAAGGTGATCAGTTGATCTCTGTTTCATCTGCATTCCTAACTATGCAAACATAACATGATTAGTTGAATTCTTGTTCACCTCTATTCCTAAAGAGGCACATATAACATAATTAGTTGAATTCTGTTTCACCTCTATTCCTAACGTGACACATATATCATGATTAGTTGAATTCTGTTTCACCTCTATTCCTAACGTGACACGTATATCTTGATTAGTTGAATTCTGTTTCACCTCTATTCCTAACGTGGTACATATAACAAGATTAGTTGATTCTCTGTCGCCTCTATTTCTAACATACATACAAATAAAATGCTTCAATCATCCACTGCTGAAGATGTTTGAGTTTAATTTGCCTTGATATTGCACAGGTATTACTACAATCTGTCAAGAAAGGAGTCATTATATTTACAAAATTGCCTTGTGATATCATTGTCACCTGAAAATCATACATGGAATAAACTATTAGGGTACAGGCATTTCTCTCAAAGACAGTATGACTTTACGGGGCTTTTTAGTGATACTATATAGCAATATTATGACAGAGAGGAGGCCCGTGAAGATCCGGGGTAGAATTGGTCTTCCAGCAACCCACGCTTGCCACAAAAAGGCGACTATGCTTGTCGTAAGAGGCGATTAACGGGATCGGGTGGTCAGGCTCGCTGACTTGGTTGACACATGTCATCGGTTCCCAATTGCGCAGATCGATGCTCGTATGCTGTTGATCACTGGATTGTCTGGTCCAGACTCGATTATTTACAGACCGCCGCCATATAGCTGGAATATTGCTGAGTGCGGCGTAAAACTAAACTCACTCACTATGACAGAGGAAATCAGAAATGACCCATTTTGGACAATCGAACCCGGTCGTTCGGCGACGATCAAATCCTTTAGTAACAAGCATGTGCAATCGTCACTCAAACACCTTCGCACTGTATGCCAAATTCTAGAAGAATATAATGAAGTACAACTGTTGGTAAATTGAACTTAACAGAGTAGATGACACACGTAAAGATATGACCTAAAGTATTGAGTTCATGTCTGCCAGTGATTGTGTACGCTATCTAACATATTGAGCTTATCACAAACTGTCATCCGGGACGTCACATGCCTGTAATATCTTGTCAACTGTACAATGAGGAAGTAGTTTACAAGAAACGCCTCCAGAATTTTTACATGCAGTAGTGTGGGATCATGTAGCAGTCAGGACCTCTCATCGGATGTACCTGTCGTTGTCTCCAGAATGAATCCAGGATTAGGATTATGTTGCCTCCTTCTCTTCTCGGTTGATATCTATGCGGTAGGTTATATACGCATGTTATCTTCGTGTCCCCAGTTGCAGTGCTTTGAACCAAGAAATTTGATACGTGATCTTGAAAGCACCAGCTCTCAGTTTGCTGAGCATTTTTCATGGAGGACAAATGTTATGACAACTATGTTGATCGCAGTTTTAGTTTGATATCGAGTCAGTCAAATCTCTCGCCATTTAGCGAGCCAAAGTTAGATTCATATAATATCTCTCTTTCGTCCTGTATTTCTGTTTCCTAAGACTGCAATGTTAAACAATGATCCACTCTCAATGAAGTGTGCTCCATACAGATAATATGTTTCAATACTGTTGAGGCAAACATCATATCACTGGCTTCCAGCCCAATAATCTCGCCGAAACACATGAATGCCCTGCGAGTCAATATTGTACGTCCTTTTCGTCAAATTTGACCAATACTCATCTGAACACAATAATCCACAGGTATTACCAAATATATTTTGTTGTATATTCTTTCGTTTAAGCAAAGATTTCAAGTTTAGGTCAGTTAGTCGGTGACTAGAGTGAGTTTAGCGTTCAGTACAGATAAGCATATATTACCAGGTCAATGATGCTCGAAGTTTTTAAGGAGACATCTTTCTGGCACTGCTAATATAACCCCGGTAAGCACTGACCTGTTTTAGTGTTTTAGATATTTTTCAAATAATTTTACTTAGTTTATTTACAATGTTTCAACAGATATAGGGAACCGACACTGTACCAATCGCTAGAGCTGTATTAACCATGGTTCTACTTGGTGGCCAGGTCGAATGTATTGGGATGGTTCTCTCCTATATGTTGGATGTATTTTCTTTATCATCATAATAGATAGAGAAGTGTTGAATGGTATATCCAAACAAAGAGATTAACATATTTGCATGGAAAACATGCAATTTGAGAAATTACCCTTTCGTCCAATATTTGGTACTATTTTGGAAAAATTAATCTTTATACGGCTTTTAATTCTATATGTTGACTGCATGCAGAAGCGATGTTAAGTTTAACTATCATGCAGGGTCAGGTAATCCATAAAAACGCTGCCCTAAACACGCAACGTTCACAAAGTAAAACCTGCCACAGCCTGACTCGCACTCATACGCCTAAAGGAACACAAACCCTCCCCAGAAAAGAAGATATGGGTTTCGAAATAGCATCACCTATCCAAAACCAGCAAGAAACGAACCTTCATTCGCAGCTGGAAGAGTTCGTGTTCATTTACTCCGTTCTTCAACTGTTGGGGAAGGGAAGGTTAAAGGCCTTCGCTCGTTTGAGTCATAGATCAATGTGCATATAAAATAGAAAGTGGTTTATAACAATATCAATATAATAATACTATCCTCGTGAAAGTATATTGTACTGAATGTAAAATAATCTTGTCTGCACAATGCTTTGTTTCAGGATGCTGATGTACAGACGTCAGATACTACCTCTTATATCTTCCTCACTCTCACCTTCGCCACCATCAAGTCAAAATTCACTATCTACATCGACAACATGGACAACAGCAACATCACCACAGCTAACGTCAACACCATCTTCACCACCACCACCACCACCACCACCACCGCCGCCGACACCTACTACGACAGACACGCCTTGTATTATTCTTGGCAAGTCATGTAAGCCCCAGTCGTGTTGTCAAGCTGAACGTGACGACGTGTTACAGCGGCATCTGTCGGTGTGAAGAACTTCTCTCAGGAAGGGACGGCATGTAGTAATGGTGAGTCAAAGTAGTGTTTCATCAGATTGTCGATTGTGGATGAGTGAATAAAGTCTTACAGATGAATCACAATAAATGATGGAGAAAAGAATCTCTACATAACATATATATATAGGTGTCATACCAAGAACCGATATGAAATTAATAACCATGGTGCAACCTTGTACTGCAAGTCATGTCCCGTCAATCAGTCGTCATAAATTATTATGATGTGCTATACATAGAACAATATGAATACTGTGGACAAAATAGTGGGGTAAAAAAAAGCGGAGTCATGACACAATCTGTATGAATAGGAAGCGAAATTTTCGACAGTAGAATGAATAGATTAGAACCACACATGTGACTCATCATATGAAACAAGTCTGTTTGAGTTCAAGGGGAAAATTCGCATGGTGAAACACTTTTCAATATTTCCTGTTGAATTTACATTCCTTTTCAATTTTCTGATCTGTATATTGTGTCTGATGTGCGTGAGCCTACGATATATGTGTCATAATCGTACACATGCGATTCTATATTATTTTATCATTTTACTTGTAAGTCAAGGTTGTTGAATGTAAAGTATCAGCGAAGGTGTCCGGACCTGAGTGAATCCTTGTTGTTATAATATGGTACTAAGATGATTTTCAATCTCTCTTTTAGTCTCGAGACTAAAGTAACCAACATCACAGCGACGTTTGTTGGTGAGACCTACATAGCTCTTGGATGGACAAACCCCAACGATACCAACTTCAACCGAGCCTACAGTCAACGGTCATAGTTGGAACCCATCGATGGACAAGAATATACTGAGTCAAAAAAGAAACTTCACATTCTTTCTTCAGGGCACTATAAAAGAACAAGAGATGGTAAGATGGTTAAATTGTTATTATTTCATTGCTGAGATCTGTGTGATGTACTCGATACACTGACAGTGCCATAATCAGTTCCATTAGGCTACACCGCCGTTCCAAAACATGGGTATACAGAATGTCAAGTCACAAGAATAAAAATGCGAAATTTCTCAGTTCAATATCGTGTATGGCCGCCCCGCTCATTCACCACTGCCAAACACCGTCTCCTCATCGACTGCCTGATGCTTGTGAACACGTGGTTGGGGATTCTGCGCCATTGCTCTTGCAAGGCAGCGCCAAGTTCCTGCAAATTCTGAGGTTGGTTCCTAAGACCACGAAGCCTTCTCCCAAGTGCATCCCAAACGTGCTCTATTGGATTAAGGTCAGGGGACCTCGATGGCCAGTCCATGACGTTGATTCCAGCGTTTTGAAGGAAATTTCGTGTCAACATCGCGGTATGCGGCCGAGCATTATCATGCTGGAACTGTAGACCTGGGCCATGAGCCGCCATGAAAGGAACGAGTTCAGGGGGGTGAGCACCTGGTCGCGGTAAGCAGCAGCTGTGAGGTTTCCACGGATGACCAGAAGTCGGGAACGGTTGTTTCCCACAGAAAGCACCCACACCATGCAACTTCCGCCCCCGAATCTGTCGACTTCCTGTACACAACATTGGGCATACCGTTCACGACGTCGTCTCCAGACTCTATGCCTGCCGTCCGCGAATCTGAGGGTAAACCTGGATTCATCGCTAAAGACGACTCGATTCCAGTCTCTCTGGGTCCATCGGAGGTGACGTTGGGCCCACAGCGAACGTTGACGTTGATGAAACGGCGTCAATATTATTACGATATGGACGTCGAGAATGGAGATTGGCAGCCCGCAACCGATTTCGAATGGTCTGTGAGGACAGTCGACCTCTAAACATCTCAGCCCTGGTTCGTGTAGCCGGCGAAATCTGTCACGTAGGTGACGTAGGACGATTTGACGGTCTTCTGCTCGTGACGTCACACGTGGACGACCCGACCTTGGGCGATCAGAAGTGGTGCCAGTTTGTTGTAGACGACCTCGCAAGTCATACACAGTACGACGGCTGCATCCCATTGCTCTTGCGACGTCAATAACTGATCTTCCCGCTTGCAACATGCCAACGGCACGTTCACGTTGCACATTTGACAATCGTGGCATTTCAAGTACCGTTAGAACTGTGGTTTAAAAGTGTTTTTCAATTCTTGAGGCCAATGCAAACACGTGCATATGAAGAAAACTTCGATGCGAAGATCACGTGATCGACTGCACGTGCAAAACCTGATTTGGCACTAACGTCATTTGCACGACGAATGGATGGGTTTGAGTGGGTTTTGCTAACGTTTTTCTAGAGTCGAAAGATAGGGATCCCATTTCGGATACATAGATGTATCATCAGAGAAAAATTATTCATTATTTTCAAAATTACATTTTGTGAAGTTTCTTTTTTGACTCAGTATAGAAGTCCTAGGTTCTGGTAGGGTGTCCCATTTTACCTGTCGAGGTACCCTTCACAGACCACATTAACATCAATCGCACACCTATCTCGTGGTTTATCAGCTCGCATATGACGAACAACTTTTTCAGGATGCCTGAATCTTTAGACTTAGCATTGGTTTGAGGCATTTCGAAGCGAGTCGGTGCCGGACATCGCTGTCATCATATGAAAGTGCAAACCTGGACCATTTTGCTGACCTGAATGAAATATGTTTTTCGGGGCTACTTACCTGGTCGTCACAGTGACCAACTTTTCAGCATAGCTAGGTAGGGAACAGGGGAATCCCACAGAAGCACACCAAAACATCATGACATGACACTTCCCGGGCATTAAATCTGTTCTGCAACTTCCTGTACATAACACTCAACGCATAACTGTTCACGGCGTCGCCTCCACGGCGTAATAGGTCGAAATGGAATTGACGTCAACATGGGTATTTGATTGTAATCCCTATCATCCTGTGGTGTCAACGGCTGCACCCCATTGTCCTTGCAACGACACTTACTGACGTTTTCCACGCTATAGCTTCCAGGTGATGCCACACGGCACGTTAACAATGCTTTCATCTTTGTTGAAGGCGTACGGCATAGGGTGGCGAGTTCTGAAAAGTGCTTTAAAAGCGTTTTTGCTCTTTGTACAGGTGATGGGAATTTACAAGATGCGATCGAATGCGATGTCAATGATAAGATCGCGTATTGACGAGTGACACGCAAAAACGCACTTTGTGGGACGCACGACGTTTCTATCGCGACTTAAATGTTAACTGTGACCGACCGCCATAGCTGGAATATATTGCTGACAGTGTGGCGTAAAACAAAACTCTCACTCTCAATTCGAAGCTCAATAAATGGGCGGTAGTGACTTTCTTCTTGTGTCAATACTTGGGGATTAATATTATGATACGCAATACTGTCTACTATAACAATTCCTTATTTCTATTTACAAATATGAACGTTAGGAAGTTTTATTACAACTCGGTATATTTTTCGGATAAATTAATATCAATTAATGAATTACTATCTAGTCGGGGAAACCTTTGGCTTTAATACATAATTCTGAACAGACATATTTACACAAGAACGACAAACTTAAAGCAATGAAACTTTGAAAACGACATTTTGTATAGTTTTGCTTCAATGCAAAGTAAATGCATGAGAGCTCTGTCTTGCCTCATAGGAATGTATTAAAATTCAAAATATAATAATGATCTCAGACACGGGCTTTATATGCTTTATAACCATATAAAGGAAGTCTCAGTACATACCGACGTTGAGATCGTCACGATAAGCACAGTACTGTGAAACAATTCTCTTTATTGGAGATACGGTGATGGTAGTGTAACGATAGACAAAGATAAACACTACAACTGATTGTGATTGATCGAAGGAAGGAAAACTGAGCTTATGGCTATAGCATGGGCCAAAAGGATCATTCCGTTCAATAACACGTTTTTCAATACGTTAGCATTTGCTGGGAGTTCAGTGTATCGAAAATTGACTTGGAACATATATTCTTGACAGTTTGGATCAAGATTCAACATTTCTAGAGACCTGACCTACCTTCATGTTTCAATCCAGTCAGCCTGGTTTGTTCCATATGGCACTATAATGCCAGACGTGTATTCAAAATCATATTCACTCTGTTCATAGATAAACATAAAGTTTATCTTCTATGAATGCCTAATTTATTGACTCTCGATATTTAATTATCTTTAAGACCTACAGTGACATAATCATGCCAACTGGACAACATGTAAATTGTTTGGCCGCAGCCCGCTATTGAAGAGTCCCATAACTATTGTAACAATCAAGAACTGGTGTAACCCATAAAGATCGCAATGTAAAACGTGCTTGTAAGTTCACTGGGAAGTCTTTTTGTGCGTTAGTAAACCGGGTAGTGTGCTCACAAACATGAAATCATGTTTCGTATTGGTTGCAGATCCATCTCAGAGTTACAGTTTTAAACAGCCAACAAGAAAGGTTCCTGCATCAATCTTTTCCCTGACCTTCAATAAAAGTGATGGCGAGGCAAGTTTGTTATCGTCACAGTCAAGAACCAAACTATGATTGTTTCAAAACGACTGCACATGACAAGGTTACTCACAACTGAAACCATCAGAACACAAATAGAAGACCTTGAGCCTGCCATGACCTACACTACATCGATAGTTACAGTGTCAGGGGGTCGCCACAGCAACTCCTCAACGTTCCTATTTAAAACAAAGGATGGACGTAAGTATGAACAGCAATATTACGTAGAAAAGTAACTTAC